AATTGTGTGTGTATATTATGTTACTTCTCTTTCTGGCCAATCCAATTTGCAAATATATAATCTATATTCTGTTTGCATGGATGGATACCTGACAAAACAAAGCAATCAGCTGGAGTGTTGATTTCCCTGAGTCTGTTTCACATACACTCTTTCTCTATCTAGACACTATCACAGGATTGTTACTCTAAAGATAAAATTGGAGAAGATACTTACCGTACTTTCCGGCGTATAAGATGACTTTCTAAAGCATTGAAATCGGCGCCGAAGTCGGGGATCATCTTATACGCCGAGTCGTCTTATACGCAGGAAATTATGGTAGTTTCCAGCATATAAGACGACTTTCTAGGCATGCAACTCGGCGCCGAAGTCGGGGGTCGTCTTATACGCCGGGTCACCCTATACGCCGGAAAATACATTACTAGTTTCTGTAACAAAAGCAGGACATAACCTAATAAATACATTTCCTTCCAAATGTATTCTAGAGTTTCAAAGGTTTTTTTAACCTTTTTAATTCAATACAAATGGCCAAATTAATTCTCAACTGAGGGTTTTTATAAAGGCACGACAGCAGTTTTCAGTGGAAACAAAACGCACACACACATCCGTTTAAAGTATATATAGACATGAATAGCTCTATAAAAATAGATCATGCCGAGTGTGAATGTTCATTCTTACATGATGGCAAATCTGTCTGTTGCCAAGAGGCAGAAGGAAACCAGGCCTTGAGCCCCAAAAAGGAAGCAAGCCAGTCCCCTGCTAAAATGGACTGATGTAGTCTGCTTATAACAACATTCGCTATTTTTTTAAAAAATGGTATTTCCCTGTAATCATTAGGATTTATTGCAAATTCACCAGAGCATGAAATAAATTATAATATTTGCATAAAAACGTAATATGTTCCTTTCTAAAGTTGATTATATATCCTAATGATGGCAAACCTTTTAAAGACCGAGTGCCCAAACTGCAACCCAAAACCCACTTATGCATCGCTGGGTGTGGCCCATTGGGTGGGCATGGCCCATTGGCTGGGCGTGCCCATTGGCTGGGCGTGGCTGCGATGGTAACGGCAGACTGGGTGGGACTAAATGTTCAATCAATCAATTCCAACTTTGCAAGATCTTTTTTTTTCCTACGAGAAGTTGAAATTAACTGATTGATTGAACCTTTTTTTTTTTTTTTTTTTTTTGTACACGGCAGCGGAGGCCTAAAGCGAAAAGGTTTTATAAAACCCAGCTGAAGGCCTAGGACCGGGACGACAGTGCGAGTGCCCACAGAGAGGCCTCTGAGTGCCGCCTCTGGCATCCTTGCCATAGGTTCGCCACAATTGATATATCCTATCAATATAATAAAGAAACATATATATTGATTAAAAAATAGTGGATAATGGTTGGGAAGACTAACAAGCAAAGGTGACATTTTTGCTTGAAAATAATTTGGATAGTTAATTTTCAACAGCTATAGGCTGGATATGTATTTCATTCTAAAATCTTAGTATTGGGGATGAATAACCTATGGTGGTATCACAGTGGATGTCTAGCAATTGTGTGAACTCTGCCAATTCATAAACCAATTCATAAACCATGGTTAAATGAATCAGGTCATTCTTTTGAATAATGAAACTGGGTTACATTGCCTCCAAAGAAAATTTATTGAATTTTCTTAGACCACATCAAACTGAAAAGATCTGCAAATAAAAAGGCATTCTTGAATGTGTATTATTATTATTACAAATTACAATTCATATACAAAATGGAGGCCTAACAAATCAAGTGTTAATTACTAAGAAATGTCTGAAATACCAGCAAGAGAACCACACTAGGAACACATTGCTTATTACACATCTTGCTTGCTCTTCGCATTTTGATTTATTTCATGAAAAATATTTTAAAACTATATTCTTTTGCCACAGCACATAAGACAAGTTTAGCATGCATTTCTTCACTCTCAAAGGAATCTCATTGTTTTATAGAAACTTATTATCTGGGATTCAGAGAAAGCACTTCTTCATTTACATCCATGCATTTGAACTTAGTTATATTTATAATATATATTTGCAGCTTGCAATAAAAATAAACTATAAATTGTTCAATTCTTCAAAGATTTTCTTTCCTCTTATTTGTGTTTTCTTTTCCCATTCCCTCAATCCAGATATTTTCCCCTCTATTCGCCACCTTAGCCTCCTCTGCTTATATTTCCCAATTTATAATCCTTTGTGCCTCAAAATGGATCTGGTGAGAGTGGGAAACCAAACTGAAGTGGTGGGATAAATTGTGTTTCAGTGTGGAAAGAATAGTGACTAATCAGTCAAGTGCTAAGGGTGTGCTGAATGGTGATACAGAAGCTACTCAGAGGTAATTTGTATGATGACCAGCTAATTCCAGGATTGGTCTACTCAGCATGATCCAGACAAATACCAGTCTCAGGTACTGACATGACTGAAAGACATTTGGGTTAGATGGAGGTAGCAGAAGATGAAGGGGTGGATTCAACTCTAGAGCAGAGTGGATTCAACGCTAGAGCAGGTAGAGCTCAGTACAGAGCAGAAAAGTGGGATTCTATGAGGGTTTTTGCATGGCAAGAGTGTTTCTGCCCCTTGATTACTTGCACTTGGTGGAGACTACATTTAAGAGTCATTGCTGCCCAATTCAGCCTCCTGAACTTGTTGCCTGTAGAAAATCTATTCCTTGGAACCCAAACCAGCTAACAACCTAATTGGGCTCCTGGAACACTGGATTGTGACCTGACTGTGCATCTGCCCCACACTCTGGACTGTGCCCTTTTGGAATGCTTTGCAAGAGATCTCTCTAAAGATTTGGACTTTGTTGCTATGTAAAGCTCCTTGAACTAATCCTCAAAGTATGTGGGAATGTGGCCTGAGACATCTACAATGGGCATAGCAGGCTATATGAATATGTCTTAGAAGGGATTCAAGGACTTGGGTGGGAAGATGACCAGGAAAAGTTTTGGTTGATGGGTAACAAAGGGCATCATGGGTAACAAATGGCAGGTAATAAGATCTCAGCTTTGATAGGCAGAGGGAAGTTCAGTAGGAGGCAAGGCTGGCTGTTTTGGGGGAAGATGCACTTGACACCATGTATTTTTTTTCTTCTTTGAGCCCTCTGGGTTCACCCAAATGCTGGTCATCTGATACTCTATGGCAGTGGTTCTCAACCTTTTTAATGCCGCTACCCCCAACCAGTCGTAAGTCGAGGACTACTCAACTGGTGCAGCACCGTTTGCAGAATGGGACTTTTGGTGGGCTCAGCAGAGCAGAGACAGCCTGGACAATTCCTATTGGCTTTTGAAAGCCAATAGAATTAGACTCTATTCAAGAGAGTCTATTCTATTGGCTTTCAAAAGCCAATAGAATAAAAGGGAGTAGCACAGCTAAGGAAAAGGGGGAAAAAATGGCAGACTGTGTTGTTTGGCAACCCCCGTGAAATGGTCGTTCGACCCCAAATGGGGTCCCGACCCACAGGTTGAGAACCACTGCTCTATGGCTTTAGACTCCAGATTTACTATTAAATGTCTTATTACTATTAATCTGCAACGAGGCCTCCCTCATCCAGGATCTTACAATGGCTGGTTGATGTGTGTAAGCAAGAAGTGGATGGGCACAAAGGAGGGCAGTTTATTCCTCCAAATGCACTTGCTTGCGTTTCATGTATGGCATCAGTTGTGACCCCTAGAGTAGAGGTGGTAGAGTGTTTACTGTCAGACAAAAACTCTGGTGGCAAGAAATTCAAATTGGGATAATGTAGGGATATATTTCAGACCCTTTAAATGTACATAACTTGAATAAATTCAATAAATCAGTTCTCGGTTACACACAAACACACACCATTATTAGCAAATTGATGTGCAGACTTTAAGGATCTATGAAGATTCTCAAGTCATCCAGTCATAGTTATATCAAAAGTGGTTATTTTTTGAAGAGGCAACTGGGCTGATTTTTTTGAGGAAGACGTTTCGCTTATCCTGGAAGCTTCATCAGTTGTATTGGATGGTGTAGGACAGGGGTGTCAAACTCGCAACGTCACATAACGTGTCGCTACGTATCACAACTATTTTTCCATTGCTGGAAATGGGGCGGTCACAGTTTTGCTATGATGCATCCGGCCCGCAGGCCACTAGTTTGACACCCCTGGTGTAGGAAATGAAAGAACAGTTATTGATAGTTGAAATTAGTGGGGGGGGGGAATGATAGGCTCTGACAGGTTTTATTTTCAAAAATAAAAACCACTTTTGATAGACTTTGAGTGTATTTACCTTTCTGCCAAGGAGAAAAACTTGTAATAAACCTTCTAAAACAGAGGTCCCCAACATTTTGGGCACCAGGAACCAGTTCCACGGAGGGAAGTTTTTCCACAAACCAGAGGGTGTGTGCTGCCTTCATCCTGTGGATGGGACTTTGCTTGTTTGTGTGGATCGGTTGCTGGCACGCTGCAGCCCAATGCTGGTCCACGGACCAGGGGTTGGGGACCCCTGTTCTAAAAATTCAAGTTTTAATATTTGCACAAAATACTAAATTCAGGCCTCAACACTTGGCTTCTCTGGCTAATGCTACTCAGCAGAGCTATCCTGAAATTGTCTATGGAGATTCTCAGTCATCCAGGTCATAATTGTCCCAAAGATGCTTTTTCACAAGGCAACTGGACCAGTCACTAGTCGTGACTAGTCCACTTGCCTCCTGAAAAAGCATCTTTGGGACTATCCTGAGATTCTACACAACGCTACACGCTTGATCCTAACCAAAAGCCCGAGAAGCGATCGACCAACGGCCGGAAGCTCCCACCCCGTGTCCCATTACACAAAAAAGTGAAGGAACCACCGTTTTTCCTCCGCTTTTATAACCTCTCCCCGTTGCCACGAATCACGGCGAAAGAGTTTGAGCTATCGCCGATCTGCAAGCACGCGCACCTGGCTTCCGGTTTTCCGAGTCACGTGACCCCCCACCACTTCGCCAATCAGAAACTTCGGAACGCAGTTCAAACCTCCAGGCAGCGGCTGCTCGGTGGGGACGTTTGCACAGCTGCCGTTGGCCGTTGTGTTCGTTGGCTGCGCTATGCTGTAGCCGCGATGGAGAATCGGGTGGTCTCTCCTGGACCTTATCGCGCCACCAAGCTGGTAAAACAAAAAAAAAAGCGGGGAGGGGGCTTACTGGAGGGCGAGTTCTCAGTGGAGTTGATTGACTTTCCTTCCCATAATTATTTCTGTCCAAGAAATATCTATCTTATCTGCATCTGTCCTTACGTGCAAGCACAACATTAACGTATTTGCTTGTAGTAAAGTGCCGTCCGCGAAAGCTTAAAAACTTAATCTTAATCTTAACACATGGGCCAATCTGGAGAGGGGCTCCGAATATGTGGTTGTTAAAGTTTTAATTCACGTTGGCATCAGTGACAGCGTTTCTGGATGGTGATCGGGCAAATTTCTATTGAAAAACCACCTTGAGAATCCACGTTTCAGAGCATGTCTAAATGGTCTTGTGGATGAACCTTCAGATGTCTTTTCATGCTCCGTAGCTTGCCCTGATGTAGTAACAAGACTTCACCAGATTTGACAGCTGAAGTGAAGATTTTACTCTATATTAGTAAAGTCTTGGTTGCAACGTAACAGAGTCAAATATATTCAAATTACTGTTTTTTTAAAAAAAAATAAAAGTTATATAGTACTTTTTGCACTATATAACTTGAAAATGTAAAGTGACTTAGAATAAATTTGATAAATAAATGTGTACTTTATTTCTCTGTGTCCTCTCCATTTGCAATTTCATTTCTCTTGACTTATAGTGGAATGAAGTTACTAAGTACTTTCGGATACAAATGCCACAAAAGAAACACAGACAACACTTTAGAAAATATGGAAATTGTTTTACTGCAGCAGAAGCAGTCGACTGGCTTCATGAATTACTCAGGAATAATATTAATTTTGGTCCAGAAGTTACTAGGCAGCAAACTATTCAGCTGTTAAGGAAATTTCTTAAAAATCATGTGATTGAGGACATAAAAGGAAGATGGGGTTCAGAAAATCTGGATGACAATCATAACTTGTACAGGTAATTGACAGAATTATTGACAGAATCTGTAAAAAATTATCAGATATATTGAATGTAAATGTTTGGCTGGTTTCCTTATTTCCTGTTGGCTTACTACAACAGAGATACTTATACATTTTACCCATAAATAAAATATGGAATTTTAAAAAATCTGTTTCAAAAGTAACCCAATATAATAAATGCTTTGTACCAAGATGCTGCATCTTGTAAAATGCTACAATCTATACTGTAGTATCAAAAAGTGACATATATTTTTAATGAAAGTTATTTATTTGATATATTGAAAATGTTGGTACTTTTCGAAATACTTTTTCATCTTCAAATAGGGATATTAGACCTAGCTTGCAAAAGGACAAAATTCTCTTCAAGAGGTTTTGTTACATCTGAATTAAATTCCTATTTTGAAATGTTGATATTTTCTGTGTCATATTATAGATTTCCTTCAGCTTCCCCTGTTAAAATTTTGCCACGTCGATATCCATTGAAAGAAACCCTGCATAACATACCCAAAAAAACAGAAAGCATGCTTAAATTACCTCAGTATTCCAAGAGAACTCCTAAAAAACATGACCTTCAGGAATGTCAGGTAATCTATTATGATTAATTGTGTTTACAATTTAATGTCTAAATACCTGGGACTAAGCCTTATCAAGGTGGCTTCTTTGTAGCATTGCCTATTCTATGGAGTATCATTCCCCTCCGGCTTGGATGATCCTGAAGAGATAGAGGTTCTCCTGGATAGTCCTTGCAATCTTTTAAAAACTGGTTTTTCTTGAACTTAACAAGAATGAATAATTTTTTAAAAGGTCTACTATGCAATAATTGATCTTGATTTGCCAATTTTATTTGGAATTATATCCAACTGCTGTGCACAAAGAATGAGATTTGAGTCGTTTAGAGCAGAGGTCCCCAACCTTTTGGGCACCAGGGACCAGTTCCATAGAGAAAGGTTTTTCTGTAGACTGAAGGCTGCCTGCATCCTGTGGACGGGGCTTTTCTTGTTTGTGCGAACTGGTTGCTGGCATGCTGCGGCCTGGTATTGGTCCACAGACCGGGGGTTGGGGACCCCTGATTTAGAATCATAAGGTTTCTATTTGTTTTGCATAAATTACACATTACAGATAATCCTCAGTTTACAACCATTCATTTAGTGACAGTTCGAAGTTACAATGGCACTGAAAAAAGTGACTTATGACCTTTTTCACACAACTGTTGCAGGATGCCCATGGTTACATGATCAAAATTCCGACACTTGGCAACTGGGATGTTTTTATGACACTTGAAGTGCCCAAGGAGTCATGTGATCACTTTTTGAGACCTGACAAGAAAAATCAATAGGGAAGCCAGATTCATTTAACAACCATGTTACTAACTTAACAACTACAATGGTTCATTTAAGAACTGTGGCAAGAAAGATTGTAAAATGGGGCAAAACTCACTTAACCATCTTATTTAGCAGTGGAAATTTTTGACTCAATTGTTGTACATCAAGGGCCACCTATAGCTTTCTGCTAAAAAAAGATGGCAAGTAATGGTTTCCACTTTCCAAAGTTTACTGCTGTGTTTTGAAATAAATATTGTAAAGGTCATCTGATTGATAAACAAATGTCACTGTGACTGCTGGTAGTCTCCTACTAACTTCCAGATTAGTGGGACAAGAAAAAAAATGGATTATAACTAGGTAGCTAAAATTAGTCTTACACTTTTACAACATGGTTGTATTCCATATTTGCAGAACAACAAAGAAAATCTGAAATGTGAAGACGATAAAAAATGGATAGCAAGTGGCAAGCAAATAACTCAAGCAGATATAGAAGAAGTTTGGCGAAGCATTGTTATGATACAGTAAGTAACAAATGTGTTTTCTTTCTCCCATAGATTTTAGAAACAAGACTAACAATTTTGGGGGAAAAGATTACTTTAGTGTCCCAGTAATCTTTCAAAAAAGTACTCTTCAAGGCAATTTCTTGATATATAAATGTTATATGCATTTGCCCTGCTGCAATATTTTGAAAATAAAAATTATAAAACTTACATACCAAACTGGTGAAAAAAGCTTGCATTTCTACTGTACCATAAAAAAAAATCTTGATTTAAATTATTAAAATAAAAAGGTAAAGGAAATCTTGTATCTATAGAGGAAGTTATAGTGTACGTGTTGAACTTCATCAAATTGCTATTGGACTTAAAATGGCAGCTTGCTAGCTTTCAGTGTTTTCCTTATGTGATCTTACTAATGATCTCATTCATTATCCTTAGGATGCTTTAGGTAATACAAAGAATTTTATAACTCTGTGCAAAACCTTTCAAAAATAGGATGTTCTGTGGAATGCAAGAGTATCCTTTTTTCCCCAGACCATACCAATCCAGCCGTTCTACATTATCAATTTTACATCTTCCAGAATAGAAAGTAGTTTTGTATTTACAACTTCAGATTTACAACTTCTTCTCCTAAAACATTTACTTGGAAAAAACTATTCACTTATGTCCAAAAAAAATGGATCAGCATTTGCTATTTAGAATAAAAAAAATTGCACATCTCTAGAATTTAGACTAACCTTTTAATGATAGCAAAGGAGTAGCCATAATGTAATAATTTTTCTGCTCTATTAAATGTTTTTCTTTTCTGATAACCCCATGATTAAGTCAACATCTTATATATGGCATATAATTTGGCTTATAGACCAGGGGCCTTCAAACTTGGTCCTTTTAAGACTTGTGGACTTCAACTCCCAGAATTCCTCAGCCAGGCACGCTGACTGAGGAATTCTGGGAGTTAAAGTCCACAAGTCATAAAAGGTCCAAGTTTAAAGACCCCTGTTATAGACAATGTAATGTAAAATATAATTCTTAACCATTTCTGGATTACTTGAAGCAAGATATATTGAATTTTTTACAAGCCTGTTTCCTTGATAATTTCTGAAAAAGTTTCATTAAGTTTCTGAATTGATTGCATTTTTCTTCTTTATAGTTTGCAAACTATTTTAAGTATATCATCCTTAGAAGACATCTTGCATCCAGCACAAATAATTCCTCGCTACATAATATATAACATGACTAATACAAGTAAACATGGAGTTGTTCTTCTACAAGATAAATCAGGTACATGCTATAATGTAATTTTTAAAGTGTTTGGGTTCTTCCCAATTTAAACATCAGCAAAAGTGTGATATATATTTTGTATTAGGAGATGTCTGCATTCATTTACTGGAAAACTATAATGTCATAAATAGGAGTTCCAGGTAGATAAGTTGTAGCATTTTGGTCTAATAGATATTTCAATTTTAAATGCAGTTCAAAATTATGAATAATCAAATAGAATTTTTTAAAAGTTAATTTATTGAGTGTGTTCCACTTCTCAATTTACTATTTGAAGTATCTTTATCAATTAAAAATCAGTATTGGGACGGGGCAAGTTACATTCAGATTCCCATTCAATCACAAAAGAGTAGTCATGAGTGAATTGTAGTATAGTAAACATGAAGTTTAAAATGAGATGCTTTTCAAGTGTTTTTCTGTATGTGCTGTTGGAGTCCTTAGATGAGTGATGAAATACAACTATAACCAATGTGTTTAGTAGTTTGGGTATAAAAATAATAGCTGGTCAATTTTTTTTCTCCCCCTTTTCTTGCAGAAGATTTCCCTCACTGGGTATTGTCAGCTATGAAGTGTTTGGCAAACTGTAAGTAACTATGTATATAAGGAAAATACAGTGCAAAAAAAGAAGTAAACAGAATGTAAACATTATACTTGTAGCACAGTGGTTCTCAACCTATGGGTCGGGACCCCATTTGGGGTCGAACAACCATTTCACGGGGGTCGCCAAACAAGGCTGTCCGCCATTTTTTCCCCCTTTTCTTTGGCCACGCCCCTGGTATCCGGTGATGTATAAGTGGTTGGGGGTCATCACAACATGGGGAACTGTATTATGGGGTCGCGGCGTTAGAAAGGTTGAGAACCACTGTTTTAGCAGGATCCAATCTGGTTCGGTTACCGTTACTGGAGGTTTAGTCTTCCGAGCTTTTAGACTCATGCTGGAGGCCATCCTCAGGAAACTTCTCTCTCACCAGAATGTGTCCTTTGGGCTATTATATGTGTACTATTTATATGGTGCCTAGTTGTGTGTGGCTTTTTAATTGTTGATTGGGATGTTGAGGGCTGGTTATTAAGTCATTGGCTGTTGTTTCCTTGTGCTGCCAAATCCTTGATTCCTAAATACCTGATAACCTGGTTGTAAATCAGCACTCTTGTTGACTGACAAGGGGCCGGTTTCCCAGCTTCAATTTCCCTGGCTATTTTTATATCTGCTCAGCCAACCATCTTAGTAGATGCAAAATTGAATGTATGTCCTTGTTCATTGCAATCTGAAGCTACCAATGAGTTCAGCTTCTGACCTGACTATACTTACAGGTTCTATTAAATTATTTTGCTCTAAATGCCACATTATCTGAATTTAGAAGATTAAGGTGAGATAAAGTGCCAGTAAAAAGAATACAGACCTACAATATATAAAATAATCAAAAAATGATGCATGTTTCAATGAACCTGTTCCTTATAATGCAAATTCTTGCTATATTATGTATACATAGTAGATAGGATCTGGTATCCAGTAGGATTCAATTTAGTTTCATAAATCTTTCATCTGATGAATTGTTAATGTAGGACAGTGGTGGCGAACCTATGGCATGGGTGCCAGAGGTGGCACTCGGAGCCCTCTCTGTGGACACACGTGCCATTGCCCCAGCCTTGCTTCCCCCCGTGACTTCCTCCTCACCAGCAGCCCTCCTGGAGAAGAGTTGCCACCGAGTGTGGCCCATGTGGAGCAGTGCAGCCAAGGACATGGCAGCCAGGCAGTGTAGACAAGACTCTGCCCTCATGCCCCATCGCGCACAGTTGATGCTGCAGGGCGCAGGCAAAGGGCGTGGCTGCCATGGCACTGCTGGGCGATCTGCTGCAGGCCCTGGAGACAGTGAGTGGCCCTGCGGGCAGGTGGGTTGGGGGCGGGGCAGGGGGCAGGGCCAGGTTTTGGGCACTCAGTGTCTAAAAGGTTCGCCATCACTGATGTAGGATGTTAGGAAAGCAGTACTCTGCTGTTCCTAGCTCTTGAAATATCATTGAGATCAGTGTTGTTGAGATTTCTTTCCTTTTGCATTTCAGGGCCTAGATGTAATGACCTGAGTCAGCCAACATACACAGGTTTTGAGCGAGATGTATTCAAAACAGTTGCTGATTATTTTCTTAGTCTCCCTGAACCTTTGCTTACTTTTCAGTATTATGAATTATTTGTGAAGATCTTAGGTATGTATCCATTCATATCAGGGTGGTACAGAAACCCAGTATAAAATTGAAAAGAAGACCTAAGATACCACAAGTGTGTATACTAGTTTTTGGAAAGAAGTCTGTCTAGTTTCACAGAATAAATAATCAAGTATAAAGTGTAATTACTGTACATATATTATCATCTTAGCTTTTGCGCAGACTGCTAATCATAATATGATTTGTTATGTACACTTAGTCTTGCATATGTGAGCTATCCTTTGCATGTATGTTTCTGAATACCTTCTGACTGAATATGCAGTCTTTCAGCACCACTAACTTTTAAATATTAATCTCTATTTTAATTTTTCTGATGATGTTGCTTGTGCTTCTAAATTGCCTGCATTTGAATTTGTATTTCGTTTCCTGATAGTTTTGTGTGGCTACATCACAATTCCAAACAGATCCAGTGGAAATTTTGGTATCCAGAATGATTTGGTATGTTCAAAACCTTGTCATTTAAACTCGTTCAAGTCAACCGAATGTCTTCTGCTAAGTTTGCTTCAGCATGATACTGACAAAGAAGATGAGACTTCTGCTAAAAGTTCTAAAAGGTGTACAAATGAAATAGGATGCAGTATGAATTTACAGCACCGTAACGTAACTTATAAAGGTGGCATCATTTGTGTACAAAAAGGTGGCAGTTGTCAGAATCTTTCACAACTGAAAAATGAACAAGCTCTGCCTCTGAGGCTTAAGGCAAGATGTCACTCTTTGGAGGGAATTGCAGATACAACCTCAAGCGATTGTAGTAAGGATGAATTTAAACAATTTTCTCAAGCCAGAATTCATATTGTGCCATTGACAAGTAATGAGAATAAACTGTTGCACTGTGAAAGTAAACCAGTCTCTTCATTGGATCTATGTTTGGATAACATTACTGAAAAACAGACTCATGGCTCCAAGGAAGTTCCTGCATCAAGTTTTCCTGACCAAGAGCAATGTAGTAGTAACCCAAAATCAAAACAACTTTGCAGGTCTCAGAGTTTACGTGGAATTAAAAACTCCAGTTGGTGTGGCATACATGCTCCGGTTGCAGAAATTACAGTAAAACCACGTCCAGCAAACTTTGGTTCTAAAACTCAAAGCACTAGCCGACTGCCTGTTAAAACAGGAAGTAAATCTGTGGGTTCTGATATGGCCATCAATAAAAGATTCCACAAAAGTGCAACACAGCTTTCAGAATACATGTTTTCTCCCAGCTTCTTTATGCTGACTGGCAGATCACGTAAGATTGCTTTGTGAAGCATGTCTGTATGTGTTTGAACTAACTAGCTTGCTTGTGTGCTTTTTTTTTTCTTAAAGGGGAGGGAGATTTTGCCAATTTCAGTATTTTAAGTGACTGTTTCAATAAAATTTGCCAAGAAACTCATTAGCCTGTGAAGTTAAATAATTTTTAAGCTAATACTATCAGTTCTGCAAGCATCAGTATTTTGAGTGCATGTTAATGCAAAAGGTATGTTTTCTTGCCCCTGCTGGTATTTCTATAACACATATTAAGTAACTTGAATCTTTTGCATTGTGATTTTAAATAACTAATCAATTAGCACCTAAATAGATGGAAGACAATAGGAGAGGCTGTGTGCAATAGTGGTTAAAGTGTTGGACCTGTGGGGACCTAACTTCAATTCCTGATCCAGCCATGAAAGATAAATTTGGGCTAGTAGCTTTCTCAACCCAATTTACCTCACAGAATTAATGTGGGGATAAATTTAAGGAAGATCCCCATGTAAGTTACTTTATGCTTCTAGAGAAAAATTTAAATTACCAACAAATAAATAATAACATGCACATTAATTAGACTTTACTTGCATTAGTGATATAAAAGTGAATCTTAATTTCTAGAAAGTTGCAAAAATAATGCCTTTCTGATTTAATAATTTTCTAGATGTGTTGCAACCTCATTCAGAAAGAGTTGCAATTGAAGCTCTGCAGATTTGTTGCCTATTGCTTCCACCACCAAATCGCAGAAAACTTCAACTTTTAATGCGCATGATTTCTCGGATGAGTGAAAACGTTGATATGCCACGACTTCATGATTCAGTAGGCACCAGGTCTTTGGTACGATTATTTCCCATAATGTTTTTTAAGCAGGTATTCCAGTTGCCTCATTGACAAATGTATTCATAGTTAAAAACCTTCCTGCCTTGTCTTGCAGACCTGATAAACTGCCAACATTTTAATGGCCTTGTATAGACTGGCAGGGAAGGCCTAAGCATTTAATTGTTAAATTTAAGGCAACAGGATTAAGTTCTGCAGTCCTACCTTTGGCTTTCTCATTCCAAAAGTGGAGGCCTGAAAAAGAATGCATCATCAGTAGGCTTCTCTTATTATCCTCCAGCAGCTGGTTCTGATTCTGAGGATTAAAGGTAGCTGTTGTGACTAGTTGTCATGATGCCATCTTCCGTGCTCAAAATCATTTTTAAACCAATCCAAGCCGATGCTTTCATAGCTTGTGATAGATAGAAAGATTCATAGATAAACAATTTATGTTGAGGATAGAACGCTTTGCAGAGTACAGAGTTAAGCGACACAATGATTTGCAGTATATAAATTTAATAAATAAATTTAATAAATCTCTATAATAGGTAAAGGGCCAAAGAAGGGAGATCTCCTTTAGCCATGCTCTGGAGAGAAGAGAGAAAACATTTCACCTGTTCTCCCCCAGTCTGTTTATTACCTGCATGCAACTCTTACGTTTTCTCCTGCATGCAACAAGTCCTTGTTGCTTGTAACATCCAAGTAAGCACTGAAAATGCAAAGTTGGATGTGGTGCAATCCCTCCCCCCCCCCCAAAAAAAATCCTTGAGCAAAATTTTAGAGATGCTTCAAAATTTACTATCTAATGTATATGTATAATAGAAAGAGATATTTAAAATATGGGAATTATGTAAACAATATTGAATGTAATGTAATTTTAATTTAATGCAAATTTAACTTGTGTGGCCCTGTCCTGCTTTTTTTTGTTGTTGTTGTTGTTTTTGCAAACTAAAAATCAAATATGGTCTTCAGTCTCCAAACTGTTGGAAAGTTCTCTGCTGTAGAAGAATGCTATTTTAATACTTGATGTTTTATAACTGCATATTTAAATGCTTCCAGATGATACAGACGTTTTCTCGTTGTATACTGTGCTGTGAGGAAGAAGTGGATCTAGATGAATGGCTTGCCATAAGATTAGTTTCCTTTCTAATGGATCACCAACAGGAAATTTTAGAAGTTCCTATATATTTACAAGTAGCAGTACAAGAGCACATTGAAACATTAAAAACTACTCAGGTGAGGAAAACAGTTAAATTATATCTGTTAATCTTTAAACGGAGCTTCTTTTAAGTCAGAGTTACATAAATAATTTGTTTTGACAGCAGTGGTCTTGGAATTGTTTCTTCAAACTTATCTGACCATTACTGCTACTTTTCAGATTTAAATAAAAAGCTTTGCATTAATAACTGACATTTTATAGTCCATGTTGTATATTTCCCCATATTGAGACTTTGATCTAAATTATTGTATGCCGACCAAATATGATTTATCTGATCTGGCTCTTCTATTATTTTCCTTAACCAGTTTACAGTGTAGTGCAGAAAGAGTGAACTGCCATTCATTGTTATCTCATCTTTTGAGCAATTTTAACCAAAAAATAACAATTGCAGTAAAATTTGCATCCTGACCACTAAGATTCAAATAAACCATATAGCACTATTCACACTTAACAGGCATTGAAAACATGTTTTATGTTGAGTATAAACAATTATTAAATATATAGTAATGCTATAGAGTACTAGAAAGTTCAGTTGTAAGTTAGTTCCCAGTGAAGATTTTGTGGAAATAACATAATCATTATTCAGTTTGGTTTTCAATAAATTCTGAATCTAACTGGTTATGAGCAGGAATCAGTACAAAGGTTTTCAATTTTCTGTAATTTTAACCAAAGCACACAGATGCACACAGCAGTTCAGTAACTTATAATTGGGCCTACTGAATTGTTCAGAGATTACCTCAAAAGCAGAGGAATTTTTGAAATTTTACTTACCGTACTTTCCGGCGTATTAGACGACTCGGCGTATAAGATGACCCCCAACTTCGGAGCCGATTTGCATGCTTTAGAAAGTCGTCTTATACGCCGGAAAATACGGTAGCTTCTTCTCTGAACCTGCAATGACATCTGTATATGAGAACATGCTTCAAATGATATTTTAAGTATTGGATTTTTTTCTCTTTAAAAATATGCAGCAATCAAGGTTCAAAGAATACCTTATCCTTACTTTGAAATGTGATCTAGTGTGTAAATCAGATTTCATTAAATGTAAGCCTTAGAACCTAAAATATACTTAAATATTAGAATGAAGTCATCTTATCTGAAGTGCCTTTTGATAGTCCAGTTGCTATTGACTTTAAAGCTTTTTTTTTAATGTCATCAGGGGAATTTAATGAAGTTGCATTTGTGCTCATTAGTGAACTAAAGGCTAAGAATTGCAACTACAGGCTACTATATCAAAATAAAATTCTTCTACTTGTGGAATTCATTTCATATTATTTTCTTAGTTATCATATTCTCCTGAAGTGTTTCAGCTAATATAAGCATGTTCATCTTATTCTTATATTAAATAGTGAGAGAGAATTCTGGTTTATCAGAGATCTTCCCAGTGGCCACTGTTTTAGATTTCAGATTGGAGCTTCAGAATTGAAATTCTTGCTCTTAACCAGAACAGGTGATGTCATCCATTTGTTAAAATGTCTGTCCTATTCTCTTTGTTCGTTTTGCATGCTTGCAGTTGGAATGTCTTGAAGAAGAACTGAGCACCATATTTCCAAGTTATTCCTATTGCATGAGGATTACATCTCGGGAATTTGATGAACAGAAGATTTCTGTATCTCAGGCAGCAATAGCTGAACTTTTGGAAAATATTATTAAGGACAGAAATTTATCTCTGAAAGAGAAGAAGAAAAAACTTAAACAGGTAATGTGATTGGTGAACTATCTAGACATCATTACTCGGCAAGAAGGCCTCAAATAATTTTGGAAGATTTGGTTTATTTTTGACAGATCCAGATAAGAAAACTGTTTTTCGGGAAATAAATGTGTTCTGTGGAAAACATGGGGCTGCATCCCTTTAGCTAGATTATTTTTTAAACCTTTCTACAGCCCCATTTTATATCACCACTCAAGCTACTGTGTTGCAAAGAGGACTTAGACTGCAATAGCAACAGTGATGTCTTAAGAAACTTTACCTTTTGTCAAGAATAACAACTTTGACATAAACCGTTGCTTTAGTATTACCATTATATTAGATGTGAAGGATTTCCACTATCTACTCCCCTGCTAGAACCTTTAACCAGCTATTATACTGGACCAGGCTTGTATCTCTGTTAAAGATATGAGGTAACATCCGCTCATTTAAGGGTGGTAAAATTATTACTCCTCTCCTTTTATTTCCTTCTTGGAGGGTACCAAACAGGGAATTTCTAATATGGCAGGATGGCAGTTCCTATCCCAGCCCAAACAGATGTGTTAAACCTATAATGGGTATGCACAACATCCTGTTTTCTAGAGCTGCAATCTGGAAAATGACACAGAATCAGACTAAATGACATGGCATTTTGAAAACTAGATTTGCTGCCACTTTGTGTTACATTAGAAACAGATTATCCATGCTGTTCCAGATATTGTTTAACTACCACTCCTGGCATCTCACCGCAGGCAATCATTCCTCAAGGATGATTTATAATTCAGCAATTTCTTGAAGTGCCACAGGTTGCCTGTTATTACTATTAAGTTAAGAGCAAATTAGAGATTAGGAAAAATAGAGATTACCACTAGAGCAGTGGTTCTCAACCTGTGGGTCGGGACCCCATTTGGGGTTGAACAACCATGTCACGGGGGTCTCCAAACAACGCAGTCCGCCATTTTTCCCCCTTTTCCTTAGCTGTGCTACTCCCTTTTTTTCTATTGGCTTTTGAAAGCCAATAGAATAGATTCTCTTGAATAGAGTCTAATTCTATTGGCTTTCAAAAGCCAGTAGGAATTGTCCAGGCTGTCTCTGTCCTGCTGAGCCCGCCAAAAGTCCCATTCTGCAAACGGTGCTGCACCAGTTGAGTAGTCCTCGACTTACAACCGGTTGAGTAGTCCTCGACTTACGACCGGTTGGGGGTCGCGGCATTAAAAAGGTTGAGAACCACTGCACTAGAGATTGGGGAAATGTTCTTTACTCTTGGCATAACACATTCCCTTAAATCCAGTGTGTGTTGGATTGTTACATTGTGTTTTGCAGTTACCATCATCTCTGACATTATTAATACTCTTAAGATGAGTATATTATGAACACTTATATATGATACTAGACAATTGTTTTCTAAATATTTACTTGATTTATTCAAGTTCACCTGACACAGTTTATTGTAATCTGCTTTGTGGCAAAGTAGAACAACTATGGCAGAGCTTAATACAGAGGGATTTTTTTTTCTGAACAAATTGCTTCACAGAATTATACTTGTCCTAGAAAGTATTAAACAAGTCTCATGACTCAAGTCTGGCTCTAAATTGGCAGAGTTTAAGTCACTGCATTGAAGTTACTGTTCTTTATTTTTACTTCCTACATTCTTTGTGAAGATTCCAAAGAGTTGAAAAAAACTTGAAATTATTCCTTTTAAAGGTCCATGACAGTGTTTTATAACATTGTTAGATTAAGATCTGACATCTGTTATAGTAGCAGCATGTCTTATAAATGTGGTGGATTACAACTCACAAGATTCCCAGAATGTGCTCAGAATTGCAGTCCAACATATCTAAAGGGCAGCTTTAAATATGTACACATGTGCTTTTTTTTACTTCATTTAAAAGGGACAGCAAGTCCTGATTCTCACATGAATATATTAGTACTCACAATCATGAATCATGGAATGCATCTGCTCTTATGTAATTTTAAGTGTAAAGGTACATAAGTGAAAGAATTTGTATCCCTTATTAGATATGATAGGTCATGACCAACCATTGTTTCTGTTCCAAGTTCTGGCAGAACACACTCATATGTACATATACACACCATCTCTATCTGGTCTTTGGCTACTTTTTAATTTAGAGATGCTTGAATAAGAGCTTACTAGTTGCTAAGAAAACACTGAACAATACAGTTTTCTAATTCCAGTTTCTGATTCCAGTTTAGTTTCTCAGCTAGAAAACCATTGCAAATCATTGCCCATATCTTTTATAAATCCTTTCTTTGTTTTGACACAGAATGGTTAGTAAGGTTAGGGATTAGGAGCTATATATAAACATTGACAATTTAAATAATTTATTCTTTAACCTTGGAAACAGATAAAGAGGCAGTCCCATAGAAGATCAGACACTTCCTGCAATGTGATTTTGTATGTAGGTGCATGATCAGAAGTAAGAATTTAGAATTTACATGTACAAGTTTACATTGTACATTTAAGGGTACTTATGATTTAGGAATAAATATTTGCAAAAATGTAATGTGCTCATGGTAACCTGGTTTTTGGAAATATATATATATATTGGTGATTTACTGTTTTGATTTACAGTTCCAGAAGGAATATCCAGAGATTTATCGGAGCAGATTTCCAACTTCAGAAAGTGAAGCCATCTTCTTTGATCACAAGCCTACAATTAAAAAGCCAATGCTTAACTTGCGAAAGTCCAAGCATTTTAGCATGAAAAGTTAATCTGTACCTCAGTTATATATTTATAAAGAAAGTTTTTGAATGTGAACATTAGAAATCTTTCAGTAAGCATATTCATGCAAATATGGATTTTATGAAAATTTCATCACAAATCCTGAAGACTGTATTTTATAAATGCCATTGTTTACAAATTAATTCCAAAATTGTAAATAGTTCCAATTTTTTCATGAACAGGCTTAATGAGATACACTTAATATTGTTATATTAAATATACCAATAGCAAATAAATATAGTAGTAGCAGTTATAAATACAAACATGTGTCGTAACTCTTTGCACTGTTTTTAAAAGAAACATACTGTAGTTTGAATACCACAATACTGTATTAATGTTGATCTTCACTATGTAATCTATTTATATATTGTATGTGTTAATGCTCAGTTAAGTAACACAGCTGAGAATAGTGAGCATGGAACATGGCCATAAAAGTAATGATTGCCAGCCTCACTTTTATTGTACAAATTGAACTCTTGGTTACAAAAAGTGAACAATATTGCTTATACAGCCATAAAGCAATAATTCATTCATTCTTTCTAATAGTTTGAAATTGTAATTAATTGTCCTCTATTGTCTATATGTGCTCACATTTTTGTTATGCTTAAGTTGGTTGTAGTTCACTTTTTATGTTGCTTTAGTAGAATTGGATTGCCCAGATTCTGTTCCCCATCTTACTCCTGTTTGCGTTTTCCTTCTAAGTATTTTCTATTTATGACATATATTTGCCAATATCTGATTAAGAATCTCTGAAAAGATTGTTTAATGAAACCTGTATAAATACTGGTAATTTAGTTATATTATGTATAAAATAATGTTTTGGAAAAGACATTACTGTACATATGCAGATCTGAATTTTAAATGGAGGAATTTAAAAGACATTGTTTCATTTACTTTCTATGTTCCACTATGTGAACCATTTCTAATGTAAACAAGTTTTCCAATGAGCTTTGAGTCCTCTAAAAGGAGCAGAAATATTATATTCTGTTTTCTAACTATAAGAATAAAGAAAGGACCTTGTATAGTGGAAAAAATTATTTTATTTTATTAAATTTTTATGACTGCCTACCTCACAGAAGATGGATCTGAATGGCATATAAAAAAATCAGTTAAAAGGGTTTACAAAAACCAGTTAATACAAATATAAATTTTTAAAAAGATAAAAGAGAATATATTAGAATAAAATTCATGACACAGCCAGTGCATTTTAATTAGCAAATTAAAATGTTTTAACAACTACCAATGTTAGTTGAGTAGGCTAAGTAAATAGAAACACTTAGCAGATATAAGTTAAGTAGCTGAATTGTTACTAAATTTTATAAATGGCATATAAATCAAATTACATTTAAATGCTTTAAATATGAATTCTATATTTATAGATTAAATAAAACCTGATGCCTTGACGATCTTACTGCCTGGCTGGTCAGAGCAATATATATATACATTTAGCTTTGCCACTCATGGCAAAGATTTTGTTGATTTTAAGTCATGCTGCAGTAGCAGCAAAGACACTAAATCTTTTTCTTCCTTTGACTTATTTAAGCCCATATTCAGATCAGATTTTTATTCAAGTGCTGACAGTGGATATATTCATAGGTCCTCTAATTTCAGTTGAAAAGTTATTCACTAACATCTTCAAGAACATGCCCTCAAAATTCAGCCTTCCAGATCCTAGCCAAAGCTAGCTGACATAGCATTTTTCATTTTTCTGAAAGCAAGTCTGTGTAACATTTGTGTGGCTTCAGCAACAATTGTAGTAGGGATGTAGTCCTGCTCCTACCAACTTACAGCAGTTCTTGTGAACATACCACTGACTTTCCATGATTATTGTGTGGGTTGCTGGATTGACATGACACTAGTAGCAGAACCCAGATTACTAAAGGAAGTGATAGACCCAGGACTATTTTAAAGCAACCTGCCTCTGAAACCTCTGTACAGATAGTCTTCATCTAGCAACTGTCTTGCCTTGGCAAATACTACTAGTAAATGGTAATAAGAAAAAACATTTTCTGACCCATGTGCCCAGTTACACCCACATTTCTATGCATGACAATAACATGGTGGAGTGTAACACTGGTGTGTCTGCATGAGAGAACTTTTAAGTGAAACAGCTACAACTAGCAATCTGCAGCATGTCACTCCCTCATGTGGTTTACTCAGCAACCATTTTGCTAGAACTATGGTTGCTAAACAGAATTATCTGTGTACACTAATGCCCAAACAATTATGCAGGGCCTCCAAAGCCCTAAAAGACAACCTGCCTTTTGGGGTAGCTATTGTCAGGTTCCCTACTTGAGTTCCAAACAGAAAAGTTAATCAAAGGAATAAGAACTCAGGGAATCAGATTATTAGAAGAAAAGTTATTAAAACAATGCCAGCAAGTACCTTACTTTCAAAGGAAGCACCTTTAGGCAATTCATGGTGGTAAAACACTTCTTAGTTCTTCATGATTTTTTGATACAAAAGATTGGAATCTTGTCTTATTAGCAAAAACAGGTCATTCTGTGTCTTCACTGCTTAAATAATAGCTATATTTTTGTGTTTAGAACTCTGAAGCAACAGAGCAAAGTACGTCAGTAATCTTTGCCTCTTCCTGACCTGGAGAAATATATAGTACATCAAATCAGTTGTTCTGAATGTGCTCTCACTCTCTTTGGGTAGCTCAGGTCTTGAATACACTTGCCTACATTTCTCTCATCTTCCATAATAACTTACTCAATTTGTATTTGCCTTTGCTCTGCTATGGAATTTCTTTTGAACCTATTTTTTAATATGATACCCTTTTGCTGTCAGTATTTTTCCACCAATGTATATAGTTGAATATAGTTGTATATAGTTATCCTTGAATCAGTAAACTCTTTCTTTCTTTATTGAGCTTGTATGCTGTGATAAATGCTGACAAATAAGCAGTGTACATATCCGGCACCCATAAATTAGGCTGAAAAATAAAGTTACAATATGTACAAAGTCCATACATCCATAGTAGAAACTTCAATTATATTAGACAAACTGACCAGGTTTATCCCTGAATAGATCAGTGAAGGCTTCTGTGCAATTCCAAAGAAAAACTACATATTTATATATCCTAAAATCAGTAGGCAAAAGCTTCATAGTTGAGAAAAGAAAACAAGAAATGTTAAAGGTTATGAAAATCGCAAAAATTACCATACTACTAAAACCAATATAGATAGTCCTTGACTTACAACCACAATTGAGCCCAAAATTCCCATTGCTAAGCAAGAAGGTAAGTGAGTTCTGCCCCACTTTATAACCTTTCTTGCCACAGTTGATAAGTGAATCATTTGGTCATAAAGCAAATCTGGATTCCCCTATTGCTTGTTGTAAGCTGACTAGGAAGGTGATCATATGACATCAGGACAATAAGCTGTCATAAATATATGCCAGTTTCCAAGCATCCAAACTTTGATCACATGTCCATGGGGATGCTGCAACGGTCATAGGTATGAAAACCAGTCATAAGTCCCTTTTTTCAGTGCCATTGTAACTTCAAATGGTCACTAAATGAATTATTGTAAGTTGAGGATTACCTGTATAGCTCCACATTAGGAGGGTGAAACTTCCATCAATATGAAAGCATTATTAGGCTTTGCCACATGCACAAATGACCAGAACTTTGTGCATTTGGAGAATACATGAGGATCTTAAATGGAGAATGAGGTAGTTATCTTATTTAACCATAACCCATTCTTCCTTTATCCTTTGTCCATTTTTTAATATGCAAACAAGTTGTTCAGGGAACAACAAAAGGAATGTTGGCAGATCATAACTGTGTACTGTGACCTTAATATATGATGATGAGTGGAGAGTTGTTCTTTTTAAATGTAATGTTCAAACGTTTATAGGCTACCTGACTCAAAGTAATTCTATATTAGCTGCTATAATCTTTCATTTATTGTGTTTATCTGAGTCCTCCCGTTGAATAGAAGAGGGTAACCAATGCATCTGTGGTGCACTGGGAGACTATTTTTTTCCTTAAAATTGGAGTTAGCAGTATGCCATTGTCTCTAAGCTAGAAGTTTGGAAATAGGGCAAAGTGCTGGTGCCAAGAAGAGCATGTTACAGACTGTGTGACTATAGCTTTCTTTGTTTCCTCTTGTTGTTTCTTCCTAATCCATTTCTGCTATGGGGATTTAGATCCCTGGAAAATATTCAAGCCACAGCAGGACAAAATCTCCAGCAGGATTTGAGCCCTGAAAGATGCTTCTGTTTCTTGGGGCCAACCTGATTGGCTCATAAGTTTCCTTAGGTAATTGCTTCCATCAGTAAGACAATGTTCATATAAATATCCAGCACAAATCTCTTACTTCGGTGCTCCGTCTTTGGCTCAGGAAAATCTCTATCCTTTCCTGAGGAGAAAATGTCCAGTCAGTAAGTATCCACTAGGATGTTCTATGAATAGAGATTTAATGTTGACCAAACAAGTGTAGTCCTGATGCTAGATAGCCTATTTCTAGAAGCAGGAGGCGACAACCTATGTGTTGTCAAGCATTGTGCTAAGAATCTGAGGGACTTTATGGAAGAAAACAAATAAAAATCCTATTGATGGTGAGAAAGTGAATATTCAGAAGCAGTTATTTCTGTTTTAACTATTGAAGTTGAATCTATTGTATAAAAGTCTGTTGAATTAAACATCCATTTAATAATAAAATCATACTTCGGTTGCTCTTAGATGTAACAGATTTTTTTTTCTTTTGAAGAGCAGAGCCACATATCACGTTTCATTTATTAATCTTTCTGGTTGTCTGACTTATGGAGAGCTGTTGCTATTCAAAATTATATATATATCCAGACCTTCACTAGGCAAGCATAGCTGAAAACCTGGTTTTCCAGGAGGTAGCAAAAGGCTTAGGATTTGACTACAGAAATTAATGCTACTGATGGGTTCAGGTGTATGCAATATTGCAGGAATAGAGAAATAATTGACACATATAAGTGTATAGTTTCATCTGCTGAAGGAATTTTATATTGTTAGACTATTTTAATCTGCTGATGAAAATATCCCTTGGTTTCACAACAAATAATTAGAGACACAGCAACTATGCTAAAACAAAAGACTTTCCAAATCTCTTCTTTCATCCAATAATTGGGAATACTATTAAAGAAAATGCTAAATCAATCACCTTTGGCTTTCTTAACACTTTGCAGATTTGAGCATCCAGCTGGTGGATACAAGAAGCTCTTTGAGACTGTAGAAGAACTGTCTTCACCAATAACTGCTCATGTTACAGGTTTGTGCCTTGAAAGTGAAGGACAGTCAGTCTCGGTTAGTACATAGATAGGAGTGCAGTGTTACAGCCTAGCCTGGGAAAAAGAAATGGGAAATCATTTTTGAACAATCGTCAAGAAAACTGTATGAATGTGCCGATGTAGTCCCCATACATTGAGCTCACCCTGGTGGATCTTCACCTTTCTACAGCTTTTGCAGCTTTTTTTTGCTTTCATGAAAATGAAACCATTTCAAGATGTGGATAACTAAAATGAATAGATAGAATTTATTGTAGAAAACCAAGCCCAATTCACATAATTAAAAGTAGATAGGTTTGTATTTTCTAGGTGTTTAGAATTGCCATTGCTACAGTACCTGGTAACTAGCCATGCTGGTTGGGGCTGATGGGATCTGAAGTCCAGAATTTCAGGATGACATGAGGTTGAGCACACAACACTAAACTATAATATGCTTTTTTCTTCTTTTGCTGATATCTGAATAGAATATTACAGGACATAAGGACTGGTGTGAAAACAATGGTTTCATGCTATGTTATGTGTTAATGCAACCCTGCTAAACTGGGGATCATTTGAGGGAATGAAAGTGGATAGACTACATTTTATTTGCAAAACTAATTTGTTTAATTACAGTAGATGTAAGATTAAATTTCTGACTCTATTTCCACAAATGAACTTGGTTTATACTTTGTTCTAACAATAGATTCTGCAGCAATTCAAACTGAAATCCTTGGCTACAGTCATAATTAAACTAACAAGCAATAGGTACCAACAAAAAAGGACTAATGTTAGAAAGCTTTGAATTGCAGATGGCATCAGGTTTCCTATGTCATCCAAGACCAAAACGTATGCATTTTGGTATCCACATCCCCATAAGTGAATATTAAGATCGAGGGCTTTTCTAAACACTTGCAGTGTGACAGTATGGTATAAAGATGTATGCCAAAGAGAGTTTTATTTGTTTCAGACATCCCAGCTGTTCTCACAGGTCCTTTGAGAATAGGACTATAGTTGCTAATCTTGCTAATGTTGAAAAAGCACACAAGCATTTTAGAATATGAGCTGCTCATTCCCAAGTGATTTTTACATCTTAAGGGAAAGTTTAGAGGTAAAGGAATGGTTTGGCAGTTATACAGGTAGTCCTTGACTTATGACCACAACTGAGCCCCAAATTTCTGTTGCTAAGCAAGATAGTTATTAAGTGAGTTGTTCCCCATTTACAATCTTTTTGCCACAGTTGTTAAGCGAGTCATGCAGTTATTAAGCAAATCATGCAGTTGTTAAGCAAATCTGACTTCCCCCATTGACTTTGCTTGTTGGAAACCAGGTGGGAAGATTACAAATGACCCCCAGGGGATCACAAGACCCCCGGAGACAATGCAACTGTCATAAATCCAAGTGCTTGAATTTTGATGACATGATTGTAGGGATGCTGCAACAGGCATAATTGTGAAAAACAGTCATAACTCACTTTTTTCAGGGCTGTTCTAACTTCAAACAGTTGTAAATCGAAAACTACCTGTATAATCTGTGTGAGATTGCCCAAACGTTTTCTTGGTCTGGTCTTCTCTTCACTGGTTGTATGCAACTAGGGGCTGAGCAGCAATCTGTTGGCAGTACTTAAATTAAATCTCATGTATTAGGTAGGATTTGTGGCCTAATTTGTCCCTTCTCATTCTGTGATACTATAAAAGCAGCTCCATGCAGAGCATAGCACAGTGATCCTGTCTGAATGCCAGTAATACCCAAAGCAATGTAACAATCTCCCACAAGCCAGCTAATACCCAGTTCCAAGAAAACACCTAACTGTGCTTTAAGAATAGTTTATACCCATCTCAAACCTGCTGTAACCTTCTATTCTTACTATAAACAGCCATCCACTGTCTAAAACAGTGGCCCTCAATCTTTGGGCACTAGGGACCAGTTCTACGGAGAGAGGTTTTTCTGTGGACCCGAGGGGGGGTGGTTTCATGTGCTGCCTGCATCCTGCAGATGGGGCTTCGCTTGTTTGCACAATCTGGTTTATGGCATGCCGCAACCTGGTGCCAGTCCACAGACCAGGGATTGGGGACCTCTGGTCTAAAATATGTTTCAAAAAGATGTAGAATGGAGGCCTGTGGCAGGCAGATGGCCAGGCCAATAGCCAGCCTTGCAATCCCAGAGGTGGTCAATCCTGCATTTCCAACTACCATGACCGATACTGAGAGATGCTGGAAATTCAGTGCTGTACAGCTTAACTATTTGACTAAGAATGAAAACTGAAGCCAACACAACTCAGGAGCCTCAAGCCTGTAGCAATATATATAATAGGTACATTTAGTTCAGAGAGTGAAAACTCAAGAGAACCTTCACTTTTCCACTTTTTCAGTCAACATTTTTTGCTCTGTTTTCAACAGGTAAGATTCCAGTTTGGCTGAAAGGCAGTCTGCTCAGATGTGGGCCTGGTTTATTTGAAGTTGGATCAGAACCGTTTTATCATTTGTTTGATGGCCAAGCACTTCTTCACAAGTTTGACTTCAAGGAAGGCCATGTTACTTATTACAGGAGGTAAGTTATGCTTCCTGCCTGCTTTCTCCATCCTGCAGTCCAGATGCTTGGCAACTGGCATGTATTTATGACAATTCAAAGTCCCGGGGATCATGAGATCACCTTTTGCAACCTTCTGACAAGCAAAGTCAATGGGGAAGCCAGATTCATTTAACAACCGTGTTACTAAATTAACAACTGCAGTGATTCACTTAACAACTGTGGCAAGAAAGGTTGTAAAATGGGGAAAACTCACTTAACAAATGTCTCGTTTAGCAACATAAATTTTCGGCTCGATTGGAGTTGTAAGTCAAGGACTACCTCTGTATAGACTTTATTTCTCCCACCCTGATAAATTCTATTGGGGGAACAAGAGTAGGAATAAACACAAATAAATAATAGTAGTATTCTTTTCAATAAGATCTCAAGCTTCCAAGGGATTACAGATTATGACATAAACTCTAAATTGGTACTGGTACTGAATTAGCATTGCATACTCTACTATTTAATACTTCTATGCTACCAGATCTATATCTAGGGGGGAGGCCAGTGGAAATTCAACTCCCCCTAATTTTTCTCTATCTTTTAAAGTTGCTTTTAAGAATAAAACTTTAACCTTTATACTTTTCCCATCTCAATTTTTCAGCTCAATTTTTCAGCTTCCGATACAAAATCTGCATTAGTTAAAGCCTCTGAGCGATCTTTTGAAACAGCATTATGGAAATTTAGTTTGGTTGTGACCGTAACATTACTATTTTGTCCAGATAAAGACTCAGCTGGGAAATTCTTGATGACCAATGATATCTGTTCCCAATATATTAACTGGGGGGGAGAGGTAGGGAGGAGACCATCAAGTGATATATTTGATTGTTCAAAAACAATTCCTGCTCATTCAATCTGTTTGTATATCTTTATCCAAATCAATGTTTCCTTTCAGAGTATCTATGTTCAGATAATATTTAAACCAGTATTTTCTTGCAGAACTCTGCATGTTTGGTTCCTTGCAGCATTTGCTCTTTCAATATGAATACCTGCAAGAGGAAAACATGGCTCATGCAGAAGCCAGTGGGACTTCTCTATTGCAAGTATTCCCATATTCAGTCCAAAGAAAGTAGGGCAGTTATTGTCTCCTGAATGAATCCAGTATTTTCATCTAGATTAAGTCTCTATTTGTTTGCCTTCATCAATTCCATAGGTCCTTCCTAGAACAGTGTAACACTTTCTCCAAGGTTATTGGGAGGGAATAAAAGAATTATGTGTCATCCACATATTATTAGATGTTGGATGGAGTCTCATTTATGAACCTGGGATTTTTTTTCATCCCAAACATGGCTCTGGAACATATTAATAGAAATGAGAAATGAGCCGTTAAGATGTAAGTAGAATGGAGCATAATACATAATCTTGCCTTATTTCTTCATAGGTTTATTCGGACTGATGCCTATGTAAGAGCAATGACTGAAAAGAGAATAGTAATCACAGAATTTGGAACATATGCATACCCAGATCCATGCAAAAATATATTTTCCAGGTGAAAAAAGTAAAGGTATAATTATGGAAAGTTTAAAACATATTTTTGTATTATGCAGCAATCTAGAAATAATCTACTTTCTTTGTGGTTGTGTCTGGCAGATTTTTTTCATACTTCCAAGGTGTGGAGATCACTGACAATGCCTTGGTGAATGTGTATCCTGTGGGAGAAGATTTTTATGCCTGTACTGAGACAAACTTCCTAACAAAAATCAACACAGAAAATCTGGAAACGATTAAAAAGGTCTTTTTAATAGATTAAAGACAGCACAAGTGAAAACTTGAAATGAGTATTGATAGCACACGTAATATATCGCTTACAGAATATCTAAAATGGGGACATTAATTGAAGAAGTATTTATAGAGCATTTTATTGAAATACAGTCTTCTACAGAGCTATATATTTTGTCTGCTGATTAAAATCTTTCAATTCTCATTTACTACAAGAAATTACCAGAAAGCACTATTAAAAATAAAAATAAGATCAATGACTATTTAGAATTAGAACTAAACCCACATAAGATTTTGTAGCTTAACAATCAATGTGATTTGCTTAACAATGGAAGCAGAAGTGCTGTCGTAATTCCAGAGCAGTTATGTGTTTTTTTTCCCTTGGTGACCATAGTTCGGCAATGGAATTGTAGGTCCCATTTGTAGTCAGGACGTGAGAGGGATATATATCTATTTTAACTGAATGCTATCTGCTGGATGCAGATGAATGAAATTTCCTCCCTGTAATAATCAAAATTATTCAACTGGTTAATCAGGTTTATAATTGTTATTCCAATTATCATGTGTATCTATCCCATCAAACCCAAAGAAAGTCTGGAATAGTATAGTATCTCCTGCCATGGGCAAGGGGGTTGGACTAGAAGATCTCTAAAGTCCCTTCCAATCCTATTATAATACATTGTATGTTCTGTGAATCTTATTTGTTTACATTCTGAAAGAAAATAGTTCTGAGCTAGAGAATTATAGTCTTCTCTAAATTCATGAAGCTGCACCTGTAGTTGTTCAGAAACTCATTTCCACTGCTATTCCATAAAGTATTTACAGATATTTCTGAGCTCAACAAGAGCTCAGATTTGTAACAAGAACAAAAAAAGTTAAGCTGCCTTCTAGGATATCTGTTTTCTACTCCCACCAAATTAATCGATCTACTGTATGTGCTTTATTTAAAAATCACAAAATACTGATTTTGAAAGATAAGCAAATTAGTATGTCTATTTTATTTAAAATCATAAAATACATCCTTCAACACAACGTAATGTGCTTATAATGAATGCATTTTGTTGGTGACAAACATACAGATTTCCCTTACCTTTCTATTGTTTTTCAGGTGGATATCAGCAAATATATTTCAGTCAATGGGGTCACAGCACACCCCCACATTGAAAATGATGGAACAGTTTATAATATTGGCAACTGCTTCGGAAAGAATTTGTGTTTTGCCTATAATATCGTAAGGATACCTCCCCTCCAAGCAGGTCTGTTCAAATAGCAGCTGCTAAAATCAGAATGTTTCTCCCTTCCAATGCAGATGAAACCAATGTGATGTAGATTTTTATAGCTAAAACTATAGAAGACTTCTACTTCTGGAAAAAAATATCAGTGAGCCTGTTCTTAAATGTTCAAAGAACCAAGACTTGTATCTGAATTCTGAATGCTTGTTTATTCACTAGAATCATCTGTTTTCTTTTCTCTTTTTTTGTATGATTTTTCATTAATTAGTCTATACAACTAAACATTGGTAAATGAATTGATCCTTATATTGCCACCTCCTTTTTCTCTCTCAGATAAGAAAGATCCAATGACAAAATGCGAACTGGTGGTTCAGTTTCCCTGTAGTGAAAGATTCAAGCCGTCTTATGTGCACAGGTAAAAGGCATCTCCTCAAAAAGATTTATTTAAATACCTTTGGCGTAGCTTTATAAAATATTTATTTCTTTTATTTATCATTGTATTTATTTAAATTTTAAAACCACTTAATAGACAAAGTTGTCTATGGGTATTTACAACCAACACCCTAAAAAATACAATTTTAAGTTAAAACATATAATCAAATCAAATACAAATAAAATACTCTACACAAACGGGTAGGAGCAAGACAAAATAAAACAATATGCATTAAAATACAATTTTAAAATACAAAATAAAGTCAAAACCCTGGGAAATACCCTGGGAAAATAGAAAGGTCTTTACCTGGCACCGACATGAGGGCAGCATGGAGGAGGACTTCATGAGATGAGCTTAAAATCCAGGAAAGCGCATGAGGGAGAAGATGCTCCTTCAGGTAACCTGATCCTAAGTTGTTTAAGGCAGGGGTCCCCAACCTCCCCCCCCCCGGTCTGTGGACTGAAACCGGTCCGCGGCATGTCAGAAACCGGGCCATGCAAACAAGCAAAGCCTCATCCACGGGATGCAGGCAGCACAAGAAACCACACCCCTTCCAGTCCACAAAAAAACCTCTCTCCACAAAACCAGTCCCTGGTGCCCAAAAGGTTGGAGGCCACTGGTTTAAGGCTTCAAAGTTCAAAGCCAACACTTTGAATTTGACCCAGAAATGAACCAGCAGTCATTGTATATGGTAAAGTACTGGCCTAAAATAATTGAATTGGCCAGTCCTATTGATCTGTCTAGTTGCACTAGTCTGAACCAATGGAAGTTTGCAGATCATTTTCAAACCAGCCCCATGTACAATTTTCCAAGTAAGTTTCAGTTTTTAAATCAGCTGAAACTGATGAAAGGCAGTCTCCATCACTGAAGCTACCTGGACTTCTAGTGACAACGATGAATCTAGGTTCTGCCCCTCCTCCCCCAGCTATGAACCTGCTCCTTTGAGATAAGATCCCTCCAGCACTGGCAGGACATCACTCAGCTACACAGACACACTACCCATGCAGACTTTATGAAAAAAATCCAGATTTAAAGACAGCTATTTCTAACCAAGCATTCTTGTCATATGTATCAGTGTTTATTGAACTCAAATTTGACATTGATACATTTAGCCTAACAAATAGCAAAGAAGAAACTATTGGCATATACATTGAAAAATGTATAGCTAAATTTTGAATCTCATGTACGTATGCAAAATGCTATGCCATCTCATATACAATCATCGTCTTTCCTAACAGTTTTGGACTAACTCCAAATTACATCGTGTTTGTAGAAACTCCAGTGAAAATTAATTTGTTCAAGTTTCTTTCTTCCTGGAGTCTTTGGGGAACCAACTACATGGACTGTTTTGAGTCAAATGAAAAGATGGGGGTAAGTATTTTTGAATTAATTAGTCCCTTTGCCATGGTGTCTGTCTGTCTGTCTTCTCTATGTGTATGTATGTACAGTGGGGCAAAAAAGTATTTAGTCAGCCACCAATTGTGAAAGTTCTCCCACTTAAAAAGATGAGAGAGGCCTGTAATTGTCATCATAGGTAGACCTCAACTATGAGAGACAAAATGAGAAAACAAATCCAGACAATCACATTGTCTGATTTGGAAAGAATTTATTTGCAAATTATGGTGGAAAATAAGTATTTGGTCACCTACAAACAAGCAAGATTTCTGGCTCTCACAGACCTGTAACCTCTTCTTTAAGAGGCTCCTCTGTCCTCCACTCATTACCTGTATTAATGGTACCTGTTTGAATTTGTTATCAGTATAAAAGATACCTGTCCACAACCTCAAACAGTCACACTCCAAACTCCATTATGGTGAAGACCAAAGAGCTGTCGAAGGACACCAGAAACAAAATTGTAGATCTGCACCAGGCTGGGAAGACTGAATCTGCATAGGCAAGCAGCTTGGTGTGAAGAAATCAACTGTGGGAGCAATAATTAGAAAATGGAAGACATACAAGACCACTGATAATCTCCCTCGATATGGGGCTCCACGCAAGATCTCACCCCGTGGGGTCAACATGATTTATTTATGAGACTTATATACTGCTTTAAGTGCAAGCACTCTCTAAGCGGTGAACACCAGTAAGCAATGTGTATATATATATATATATATATATATATATATATATATATATATATATATTTACATTGCCCCCAACCATCTGGGTCCTCATTTTACCTACCCCGGAAGGATGGAAGGCTGAGTCAACCTTGAGCCGGTGAGATTTGAACCGCTGACCTGCTGAACACAGTCAGCTAAAGTGGCCTGCAGTACTGCACTCTAACTGCTGCGCCACCTCGGCTCACAAGAACGGTGAGCAAAATCCCAAAACCACACGGGGAAACCTAGTGAATGACCTGCAGAGAGCTGGGACCAACGTAACAAAGGCAACCATCAGTAACACACTACGCTGCCAGGGACTCAGGTCCCGCAGTGCCAGATGTGTCCCCCTGCTTAAGCCAGTACACGTCCGGGCCCATCTGAAGTTTGCTAGAGAGCATTTGGATGATCCAGAAGAGGATTAGGAGAATGTCCTATGGTCAGATGAAACCAAAGTAGAACTGTTTGGTAGAAACACAACTCGTCGTGTTTGGAGGAGAGAGAATGCTGAGTTGCATCCAAAGAACATCATATCTACTGTGAAGCATGGGGGTGGCAACATCATGCTTTGGGGCTGTTTCTCTGCACCCTACCTATGATGACAATAACAGGCCTCTCTCATCTTTTTAAGTGGGAGAACTTGCACAATTGGTGGCTGACTAAATACTTTTTTGCCCCACTGTATGTATGTATGTATATATATGTGTGTGTGTATGTGTATGTATATGTATATACACACACAGTGTACTCTGTATGTATGTGTATATACACACATGTGTGTATGTATATGATATATATATATATATATATATATATATATATATATATATATACACAGAGACACACATGTATGCATACGTACATATACACATATGAACAATGACATGAGAAGAATATAGTTTTATTATTTAACAAGGTTTAATAATATTAATTTTAAAGGTATGGATGCATGTTGCTGACAAGAAAAAAGGGGAGTACCTCAACATCAAATACAGAACTTCACCTTTTAATCTGTTCCATCATATTAATACTTATGAGGATAATGGATTTCTTGTTGTGGATTTATGTACATGGAAAGGGTAGGTACTAAAAATTTATGTATACAGAAAACCATACAACTATAATTTAAAGCAATCTTCAGAGCCATGTTACTGGAGTCCAGGTACCATAATCTTCCAGCAAAGGCTGAGGATATATTTGAAGAATGTTAGTTCAGAAGACTGGTTTTTGAATGAATTCTATATACTCATTTGTTTTCAATTATCCTTTCTTCATGTATTTGCAGCAAAACAGATAGCTTTCAGGGATTATCACATTAGTTTATTATTCTGTTCAAATGAGTAAACAATAACACAATAAAGTCAAGAGGTAATTAATTTAGTGGCACACATTGAAAATAGAGGAAAAAACAAAGGAAGCACACAAATACAGGACTACTGTGCCTTTGTCAACTATAGCAAGGAAGTCTGAATAGAAGCTAAAATTTATTCTTAATAGTACAAGTGACATTTGCTAAAGGTCAGTTTATCTTTTTAAGGGTAAGAAACAAAGTAGGTTGTGCGTCAGCATACACAGAATAATGCTGTGATGACAAAGAATTTAAGAAATATATGTGACTTTTCATGAGATACCTCAGGATATTGAAAAGGTCTCTGGTTTGGCTAGTACTAATTGTTTTATTTTCTTGTGGTTACTTTTTGGTTTTATTTACTTATATGCCACCTTTATTTTTACAAATAACTCAAGGAGACAAACATATCCAGCACACTTTCCCCTTGTGGGGGAAACACCCCACAAGAACAATCCTGTGAGGTGATTCGGCTGAGAGAGAGAGAGAGTCACCCAAACTCACCCAGCCGGCTTTCATGGCTAGGGTAGGACTTGAACTCACAGTCTCTCACTTTCTAGCCTGGTGCCTTAACTACTAGATCAAACTGACTCTCTGTTTTGTTTATATCTGTTCTTGATTTGGATGCCATTAACTGGAAAAATATAAATTTACATACAGTGATCATTTTTTGGCACATGCAATTCAGTGACCCAGAAATTATTATTCTGTCATAGTCAAATAGGTTACTGTTAGGTTAGATCCCACGACCTGTTCATTGAGAAGCTGATGTCTTTTATTCCTCTATAGATATGAATTTGTTTACAATTACTTATACTTAGCCAATTTACGAGAAAACTGGGAAGAAGTGAAGAAAAATGCACAAAAAGCTCCTCAACCTGAAGTTCGACGGTATGTCCTTCCCTTAAATATTGAGACGGTAAGAATTAAATATTATCTATTGAAATGAAAACCAATATTCTGCACATGTAACGTGTACAGATATCCGCTAGCAAGGACTTCGTAAAGAATGCAATGTACATTGGGCTGGCTAGAGGTGAGATAATGTTCAGATGCTCTTTGCAATATTATTTTCAAGTGCAATATTTTGTATTTTCCCAAAGGACAAGAGGCATTTACATAGGGGGGGGGAGATGTTTTGGGAGAACACTGTTGAATTAGCATTTCAGTTTCCCTTCTAAAACCAAGACTTAAAAAAAAAAAGATTTTGAGATCTGTCTTTTACTTATATTTTTGGAAAAATAGGTGGAATGTTGAAAAATGGGGTACAGTATAGGGGTACAGAATGCATGTTTCTTCTTACTTTCTTTTTGTGGGGGATGTTCTAGGCTGATACAGGAAAAAATCTAATTACATTACCTAATACAACAGCAACAGCAATTCTGCACAGTGATGATACCATTTGGCTGGATCCAGAAGTTATTTTTTCAGGGCCACGACAAGGTAAGACTAAGCTCAGCAAAAAGCAAAAAAGACAATCCTAGCAAATTCAAGAAATCAATTAAAAGTGTTTGTTTTGCTTTATAGCTTTTGAATTTCCACAAATAAACTATGCAAAATATGCCGGGAAACCTTATACATATGCATATGGTCTTGGACTGAATCATTTTGTTCCAGACAGAGTAAGTATTACATATTAATAGACTAGATTTGTTTTTGCAAAAAGGCAAACAAAAGTCCAAGTCCAAATTCTTTTATGTGGCTCATAGGAATATACAAGATAGCAAAATTAGGTGCATCATCTTAGACTGATTTTCTTTTCTTTTCTTTTCTTTTTTTTTTTGCTATTCAGGTTATTACTGCATTTACTTTTAAGTCTATTTCTAATTTAACACAAAAAAAAGGAATGCTCCGTTTTCCCTAAGGTGCTAAGGGAGTCATATATAGTTGGAAAAGCTGACTCTGGATGCCAATATTTATTATAGGAAAAAACACACCAAGTATGAAATCCATAAATAGCAACTATACAACAAACTTTTCTTCCAGGTCACAGTATACCAACAGCAGTCACAGCTACCACAATGCAAAGGGGTTAAGTTTCTCATAAAGCTTTACTCTTAATAGATTTCCATTCAAACAGATCACAGCATTGCTCATCCTAGCTCAGCTTGCTCCTGTGCTCAAACTATCAAGAAAATACAATGTAGTTTAGAAATGAAAGAAAAGGATGATTCAATTTATTTTAGAACTTGGGAAAAATTTTATCAGTGGTTAGAGACACGTTAGAACTTGAAGGATTCAATATTTTAGAATAGATGACTGATTTTTAATCGTATTCTAACTAACATTTTGATGATATGATTACTTTTCCTGATTTACTGATTTTCATTTGTTACTTTTGATTGTTAGGAATTTTTTTTGAGATTTTATTAGTAGTGTTTGCTTAATAAATCAACGTACTGTATTTGTTTACTAACTGTTTTTAATATGTTACAGTTTGAGCTTTGTTAAAAATGGTTGAATATGATATTTACTCATTATTATGATCCGGACGGTTGCTTGTTTGTTGAAATAAGTGATTGTACCTATCCTTATTTTACCCTAATTCCTTATTTCCTTCCCCTCCCCCTTTCCTTTTACCCCTCCCTTTACCATATCTGTATTGTTCCTATTTTTCCTCACCTATATAAATTTAATAAAATTTTGTTAAAAAAAAAAAGAAATACAATGTATTTGCCCAAATGAACAGATGCAAATGTTTCATACAGTGAGGGGAAAAAATATTTAATCTCCTGCTGATTTTGTACGTTTGACCACTGACAAAGAAATGATCTGTCTATAATTTTAATGGTAGGTTTATTTTAACAGTGAGAGACAGAATAACAAAGAAATCCAGAAAAATGCATTTCAAAAAAGTTGGAGCCAGAAATCTTGCTGATAGGGCATCAAATACTTATTTCATTCATTAAAATGCAAATCAATTTATAACTTTTTTGAAATGCATTTTTCTGGATTTTTTGTTGTTATTCTCTCTCTCACTTTTAAAATAAACCTACCATTACAATTATAGACTGATCATTTCTTTGTCAGTGGGCAAACATACAAAATCATCAGGGGATCAAATAATTTTTTCCCTCACTGTACTTTGATAAAAAAAGATTTTATGCCTTCTGAGACTTACATTAAGATTCATTTTTGAGCATGCTGGACAAAACCAAATAGCTTTTTAAAATGTAGCCAATTCTAACTTAGCTGTTTTATGTTCTGGGACAAATCTGAGCTATATTTGAACAAAATACAAAATGTACTCTTTTTAGGCACTAAAATAATATATATTTTGTTATGCTATTTCTACAAAAGATTATGAGCCTCTTGTAAGGCTGAATTTTCACTTTCAATATAAAGTGATCCTACCAAAGTGACATCTCTCTATGACTTGATTATATTGTGATTCCATCCAATACCTTATTTTATTCAATTCATAAGCTGCCCAAGTCCATTGTGGCTCAGAGTGACATACAATATACAAAATTTAAATTTTAAAATTTAAATAAAATAATACTTTGTTTTACACACAAAAATATTGTCTGAAGAAGTTGACCATCATTTCAGATCAGACAACCCACAAAGGACTGGCTGTTCTCTCTAGCCCAAGGCCTGGGAAAAGAGCCAGTCTGAGAGGCTCGTCTAAATATGGTCAGGCTGGGGTTCATAAGAATAACGGAAGAAAGCTATTGCAGTGGGCAGACACTACAACAGAAAAGGTGGCATTACTTCATTGATGGGACCCAGAACCTGTCAATTCTGCTAGACTGTATAAGATGAGTAGCAATTATGGATCACAGGTGGTCCACAAGTAAACAGGTGCTATGCCATGAAGGACTTTATAGATGGCATATCATGAATTGGACTTGGAAGCCTGCTGGTAAACAGCAGAGCCTATATTACCTGAAGTAATAAAATGGGCATACTAAGAGCCTGAAGTAATTACATGGGCACACTGGAGCCTAAAATATCACATGGGCATATCAAGGCATCATCTGCAGCTTCCAGGTGGTCTTCAAGGGCAGCCCTAGGTATAGTGCATTGCAATAATCCAAACATAATATAAACAAAGCACAAGCAACTGTCTTAAGAGCCTCTCAGTCCAGATATGGGCACAACTGGTGCATTTAATGAATCTGTGCAAAGGTCAACATGGCCCCGGATGCCATCTCCTCAAGCAGAAACTGTGAATCCAGAAGATCCCTAAGTGAAGCACCAGCCCCATAGGGCATAGTACAGTCCCATTCAGAACTAAAGATGGAATATCTCTTAACCAAAAGAATTAAATTTTAATCTTCACATTTTTAAATGAAGTTCATTTAAATGCACTATAGCAACAAGACACAACAGAATGCAGAGCAGACCAAAGCTTAATCAACCAACCTTAGCAGGATTATCAGTACAAATGTAAAGTACAACAATATACAGGTAGTCCTCAATTTACAACCATTTATTTAGTGATCATTTGAAGTTACAATGGCACTGAAAAAGTGACTTATGACCATTTTTCACATGATTATTGCAGCATCCCTGTGGTCACCTGATCAAAATTTGCACACTGGACAACTGATATATATTTATGATTGTTGCAGTGTCCCAAAGTCATGTGATCAACTTTTGTGACCCTCTAGCAAAGCCAATGGGAAAACCAGATTCACTTAACAAACATGTCACTAGCTTAACAACTGTGGCAAGAAAGGTTGTAAAGGTTGTATTAAAATTCATTTAATAACTGTCTTGATTAGCAACAAAAATTTGGGTTCAATTGTGGTTGCAAGTCGAGGACTACCCATATGTGCACTGATTGAATGGGACAACTTGCCTCAGCCAACTTGTCATGGTCATCTTGCCATGGCCATCTCACTGTAGATGGCCATCTTGCCGTGGCCATTTTGCCATAACCAACTCACCATGGCCAACTTGCCACAAGACAACTTGCCGCCGGACAATTCACCTGGGATATCTCAATGCAATAAATATTATCTGCCAGGAATGGGACAACTTGCCACAGCCAACTCGCTGTGGGACAACTCACTATGGCCACCTCGCCGTGGGACAACTCACTGCGGGACAATTTAACAGTTCTATTTAATTATTTAAAATAAATTAAAAATTATTTTAATTTTTACCATTCATATTTCATACCTTACCCCTGGATGATTGTTTTTGTATTGTTTTGTTATGTTTTATGTGTTTTTTATTGTTAGCCGCCCAGAGTCCTTCGGGAGTGGGGCGGCTTATAAATTTTAAAAATAAAAAATAAAATAAAAATTCTGTCCTTCCTTTTGCATCCTTTCTTTAATGATTCTTTTTCATCATTTCTTTGATATTAGTGTAACTGTTGTCTTGCAACGAGTTGTCCTACGGCGAGTTGGCCATGGCGAATTGTCCAGCAGCGAGTTGGCTATGGGGAGTTGGCCATGCCGAGTTGACTGCAGTGAATTGGCTGTGTCAACTTGTCATAGACCCATATTATCTGCCACTGTTTCTTTGACATTATTTCCATCGAGTCAGAAGGTTTTGCACATCCTAATAGTGATGCCTTTGACTGCTTTACCAGCCTTTTTAGAAAAATGCATTTTTTAAAAATAAAAATCTTTATTTTTTTTCAGCTTTGCAAAATGAATGTTAAAACTAGAGAGACATGGGTATGGCAAGAACCAGATGCATATCCCTCTGAACCAATCTTTGTTTCTCACCCTGAAGCTATAGAAGAGGATGATGGTAACGTTATGACATTTTGATTAAAGTTTAGAAAAAGCTTTTATCCAAATTTGGCTCTATACATATGAAAAGGATTTAATAAATAAACTTAATTTATACCCACTAAATATTCCCTGGGGGAATAAGGCAAAAATTAATATGGTCCTGAGTTACTGTATTTTCAAACCTAATATCTGTGCTAAAGTTTTTGTGCTTCTTTGTTTATGTAATTTGCATTTATTTTGATACAGGTATTATCCTGAGCATAGTCATCAGTCCTGGCTGTGGACCAAAGCCTGCCTACCTTTTGATCTTGAATTCAAAGAATATGAGTGAGGTTGCCAGGGCACAAGTGGACATAAATATCCCAGTTACTTTCCATGGACTCTTCAAAAGAGCATGATGTCTGTCTTGAATATACCTCAGTCTTTCTTTTTAATGCAATGTGCAGAACAACATAAAGCATTCTTCTAATTATCTGCCAGTGATTTGCAAAATTTAAATTAACAATTTATTAACAATTTAAATATTTTAATACTTAAGGAAGTATCCATTCTTAAGACTGCTTCCACGACTGTAATGTACCATAAATAAGGATAATTAAAAGCTGTTAGTACTGTAGATGCTGATGAACAGCATCAGCATTATAATTTCAGCAAACTTCAGAAAAACATTTACAATTTAAAACTGTTAAAATTGTTCGGTAATGGAACATAGGTGAAACACTATGCCTTGAATTCTGGCAGATTAAGTAGTGAACAATGAGAAATACGTATTTAGCAAATTATTAGTTTGGAAACAACTTTAGATTTCTCCTTATATTTTAATATTTGAACATAAATTATTTTTAAAAATTAAAATGAAATAATTTTCATATTTGCCACTTATCAGAGAAAATGATACTTTGAATTTGATGTCTCTGACACCTTACACATCGTTATTTTACAAATGATGTTTTGTCTAATAAACATTATGTAAAATGTAAACATTTATTTTTTAAAAAATAATCATAGCTTCTCCTTATCTGCAACTGTACTACAGGTAGTTCTCAACTTACAACAGTTCATTTAGTGATAGTTCAAAGTTACAACAGCACTGAAAAAAGTGACTTATGACCATTTTTCACACTTACAACCATTGCAGCATCCCCATGGTCACATGATCAAAATTCAAATGCTTGGCAACTGGCATGTATTTATGACAGTTGCAGTGTCCCGGGGTCATGTGATCAACTTTTGCGACCTTCTGACGAATAAAGTCAATGGGGAAGCCAGATTCACTTAAAAACCGTGTTATTAACTTAATAACTGCAGTGATTCACTTAACAACTGTGGCAAGAAGAGTCGTAAAATGGGGCAAAATTCACTTAACAAATGTTCACTTAGCAACAGAAATGTTGGAATCTATTGTGGTCGTAAGTTGAGGGCTACTTGTACTTGTATCTTTAGATTTGAAGATATATATATTCACAGTATATTCTGAAAACCTTTATAGCTAGAAAAAGGGGTTTTATATCAGTTTGTGAAAAGATATGAGAAGATCACTTAACAAGTATATTGCTTTATTTCTGGCACATATACACATCCTGACCTTTTGGATTAATCTGTTATAGGAGTAAGGTGCTGAGTGCTAGTCCTTGGCATTTTTCAAATTTTTACAAAGTTGAAAAATTTAGTGGAAGTTACTTTAAATCTTTTAGACTTTTTTTAAAAAAAAACACAATTTCTTGATTATATAAATGCTACATAATAGTGTTCTAACATTGGAGTTACATTGGAAAGTAAAAAGTACATTTTGAAAGAAGTCAGTAGCTTTTCTTCTATATTGTTGCCAAGATCACAGATGGATGTGTCACAGTGCGCAGAAGAGTGAAGATTTACTTGAGAGTGTCTGTACTTTTACCTACAGCATAATAGATAAGACACATGATTAAATGGCAACATATAAATATTTGATAAATCCAGGTACTTTTTAAACAGTGATGACAACTTTAATATTATTATTTGACATCAGCCCAATCTGATATTCAAAAGTTATTTATAAGCCAACTGACTTCCTTACATTCTCATGACAGGAACAGAAGATTGTTGCAAGGACATTATCTGGTATCTTTGTTGCTTCATAATTCTTAAACATTGCCCAATAACCTGTCAAAAGATAAAAATTAGTATCAGTGATAATAAGTTGAATTCAGATCAGGAGAAAAAAGGTACGATAGTACAGAGGTTTCATATAACTAACCTCCCAGCCCAGGTACTTTTGAGAATATTGAGTCCAACTCAGAATGAAACCAAGTAACTTTATCTAACAGATGCCTTAAATAACCTACACATAGCCCCACTGATGTTTCACCAGCCCCTCCTTACCAAGGAGGGATTGGGTTACCTCAAACAGGATTGCTGGCTTTCTGCAGATATGATAAGAAAACTATTTGTTTTGTTGCTTTATTATTACAAAGTAATTCTTAACAAAGCATTATTTACTTGTTTTTTTTTATTTGCTCTTTGAATACCTTGCTTTCCACTTTGCCCGAGTAAACTTAAAGGATTTTATTGTTTTAAAAGAATGTTTCATTATAATCTTCATCATATGAAAGACTATCTATTGTGATTTCAGGATTTTCACAAGATTTTCAGAATTTCTGCTTTTCTGAGTTTGGAACAAGAAAATCCAAAAGAGGACACTTATTTGTCTTTCCTTAGAACAGCAGTAAAGGTACCTTGACAGAAGGGATAAATGCTCCAGCTGGACAAACTAGGAGCATAAGGAGGATTAGTCTGATTACTGGTAGTCTACTAATCTAGTCTACAGTAGTCCACAGAAGTTTTTTTAAACTGGGCAATCTTTGGAATTTTTTTGCCAGCACAGTAAACTCATCATCTCTACCTAGCTCATAACACTGTTTGACAATAAAGGAAGGAAACATACTATAAATTAGACTTTTCAAACCACAATGCCTTCATAGATATCCATTTCCAAACTTTTTACAAACATAGCCATAGGTAAGATTATAAGAATTTACATATCCAAAGGATGCCCAAATTAAGATAGATTGCACGATCTCCACATTGTTTCAAGATCTAAGAAAGCAACTGATGGTAAGATTTGTTTGGGAAAACAAGCATTGTGTTGAATACTGCAGAATGTATCAATGAATAATTCAGTCTAAGATATCTGGTAAGATTAACAATGTCACAGGTGATTTTAAAAGAAAAAATAAACTGCAATTTAAAAAATAAGGTTTGGGGGATAAATTAACAAAAAGAAAGAAAAGTCCTGAACACACATTTAGTGCATACCTTCCTTGAACTCTGGGGCAAGATTACTCTATCATCCCAGATCCTGGCAGAAGAGTAAAGTGCATTACTTTCATTTTGCAGTCTGGAAATATAAGAATTTTTTTAAGAGATACATAGCTATATCCTCAGGTTTACATAAATGAAGGTTCTGTATGAAATTATTATGTGCTTAATGAACAAATGACAACATACAGTTTTTTTCAAGAATGAGAAGCAGAGATTGATCATTAGATATATGCAAAACCCACTGTTGTGGGACTGTATCATTCTGGAGAATTCTGGAATATTTTATTTCTCCTCTGCACCACACTGATTCTGCTATCAGATGGTGGTTTCACGAAGTTAACTTTACAAGTTAGAAACAGTCTATGCTATTCTGGAATATACAGACCAAACCAGATCTGTTTCTGTCTAGGTCACTATGAAATGACAAACCCACCATGAATATCTATTTTGCATTGAACCCTTAGACTCCCAACAGCTATCAAGGCAAACATTTTAGCTTTGGCTCATTTTGATGAGTTCTCTAGGTCATCAGTCCTCAATCCATAAATGTTCTCCAAAATACAATTAAAAATGTGTCCTTCACTACCAAACAACAGTCCATCTGTAATATAGTCACTTTGCCAAAGCATTTCCAGCACAAAAGATGCAGTAAAGACGGTTCACATTTTTAAAGTTTAGAAGTTACATACTGAAATCCAAATAGAAATGTAGTATTATTAATAGAATTGTAATGTCAATGCTTTAATGTTTTAATACACTTACTTCCCTTTTAATAATTTTAATTCTTGCATTTGGCCAAAGAAACAGAAAGTTTGGATCAAACAATTTTCCACACTGAAAAGGTTAATATAAAAGCAATGAATTCAGAACAAAGCTCATTTTAAGTTAGCTGAACAAATTGATGACTTATGGATAATGCTTAAACTCACAGAAAGACTAGGAAACATAATGGCAGCACTTGGCTCAAAAATTAAGTAGGATCAAGGTTAGGATCAGTACTTGGATGGAAGATATCCAAGAACAGCAAGGATGCAAGACATATTGGTAAGTTAAAAAAACATTCTGAAAAAATGAAATGGCAAACCACTTCCATATTACTGCTAAGGATATTAAATGGATGAGTCCATTTCATCACCAAGAGGTGGTCTTCATTTCAGAAACGTATTTTTTATCTTAATAATTGCACGGAAATACTTTAAGAGGTTACACATTAGAGACCTAAAATGACTGCAACAACTATAGCACTAATTAATTTGTATAATTTATGAAAAAGTATCATGAAGCTCTTAAAGGAGAGAGTTCATATCAAATCTCATTTTTATTTCTAGGCTACTAATTGTTGAAAAGCTACTGAAAATCAGCATATCACTTATTTTATATTATTTTTATTTTATGATAGATTATTCATTAATTTTATAAAAAGTGCTGTGCTGTGAATGTTTGGAATTGGTGATTAGGAAAGGCAAGCTGGTTTTCACACATAATAATATCCTAACAACCTATAGTATCATCAAATCTGAAGAATACTTGGAGGACTTCTAATCAAAGGGCAAGAAACCTCAGATCATCCCCCAAAACAAGATGTTCAGCATCTTACCATAGCATAACTTTCACTTCCTAAACAGCCACCAATCACAACTGTTATCTTTGGTACAGGGGCACAGGCAATTGTAGCCATCATGGAGGCCTGTGCCTTTAACCTATTAGCTTGATCTTCTCCCTAATTTAAAATGCAAATAATTGAGAGTTATTTTATTTTACACAGAGAGGTTCTATTTATTCCTTTTAATTAAAAGTTCACTTCATTACACTGCTCAGTCAGTTCTGATTTGGAATAGACTGATAGGTTGCAAACAAATAAAAATAATATGCCAGAAAATATCTCTCTCCTAACAACCTTTCCAATTGATTTCCTGTTAACATCTAATCATTCTTCAGGTGCTTTGTTTTCAGCATGCACAGACCCACATGCACAAATACAAGAAATAAAAAGATATGATTTTTCAAAACAAATCCAAGCCATATTCCTGGTGAATAACCATCACTAGAGGTGAATACATAATTTCTTGTGTTTCCAGCTTGGCACTACAATTTTCGTCTTGGAAACATAAATTGTAATCCTTTTTCTATAAAGTACTGTTGAATCAATGGACGGAAACCAGGAAATCCAGCAGTAACAAATTAAGAGCTCCACAGGAGAAACAACATATAATATCTCAGGATAATTAAGTCTAAAAGTCCTTCAGTTGCTCCCTTCATCTACTGCTCTGTTTCTCTCAGAATCTACAACTATCAAAAGGGACAACCTCCCCAGTTTGCTAAAAATTATAAAGAAAAATATATGTTGGTTTAACACTACTTACAAACCACTTGTCTCCCTCCTAGCCAAATAACATCCTGTCAATATTTCTATAATATCTCATCATTCCTCAGCTGATACACACTATTCAAGTATTGGTTTTCAGATTTAGATTTTGAGAGAAATGCCAACATACAAAGAATTCCTGCCTGTTACAATTATATATAGCTTTACTAAAAGAAAAAATAGAATCTGTGAACATGCTCTTGAAAAAAAAAATCCATAACATCTACACTTAACTAGGTGAGTACCGAACTGACCCTGACTGATTTAAACAAATAAAGAAAGGTTGACCTGGTTATTATTAGGATAGTGAATTATGCTAAAGGTATAGGACAAATTAGAAAAAACATTCCCCAGAGGCATTGGAAAAACCATTTCCATGCTGCTGCCAAAAAATCCATAGGAACACATGTGCGAAATCACTGTGAGAGGCTAAGCTTTACTTTTTATTTATCGTCTTGAAGGAAAACTGATTGCCACTGAGCCAAAGGCTGCTTAAAACAGCGTTTAAAAGACCACTATCCTAGATCTCTCTTTCATACTCCTACTTTGCATTATAGATATTAACTTTTTCTGAACTACTTGGGGCAGTGGAGATCTAGAGTGGGTTAAGACTGTTGCTCTTCACTATCAAGACTCTGATCTTTTGACCTAATAAAACTGAGCTTCCAAGTTATAGCCATCTGAATGCATTCTGTATTAGTTGCTTACCTGTATGAGATTGGTTGCTTCTGCAGTATATGGAGCAGTATTCATGAGAAACAGGATAGGAATGTTTCTTTCACTACAAAGCTGTATGAAATGGCAACCTTTTAGAGAAGCATTCTGTGTCAGTTCACCATTGTTAGCCACTAGTCCAACTGGCTCTCTAAGAAAAACATAAAATACAGTCTGTATTTTAAGAACACTGGACATCCTGAAGTCAGAACAGCAAATATTATCTAGACATTTAATAAAATCACCTTGCAACAGCAATTTAAAAAGCAGCTTAAACAAAATGTTTTGAATTTCTTTCATTTCACATCAATCCTACATACTTATTTTTTTAAAAAAAAATCCTTATAATGTACTTTGTAATTTTTAAAAGCTGGATCTGCATTTATTTCCATGTTATAGAATTAAGCAAAATATATCAAGCAAAGCCAGCTGAAACATTAGAAAATGCACTTTGACATGAAATTCTAGTGGGAAAAAAAACTAAATTAAAAAAAAACCTCTGTTTTGAGATAAGATTATTTCTTGGAAGAAATTATGAGAATGATGCAATTAAAAGTATTAAATATAAAGTAATAACATAATGTGTATATTTTAATACATCCTTTAATAAAACATAATTGTAAAATAAGGATGAAAAATAATATCAGGACTTATTGGCCTAAAAGATCTAAATAATTTAACCATTAACTAATTTAACTGTTTGCAAAAAAAATATTGTAAAACAGCTTCTGAAAATATGTCTGACCTGCCCACAAATTAGTTTGGGAGCTAACAATACAGTAGGTTATATTTTTGTAATGCTGTCCTATTCAATAAATACTACATGGTTCATCAAAGGATGAATACATGAAGGCAACACAAGTTTCTACTGAAGTGATGAAGTGAAGGAAATAATTAAATGTGTTTGCTACAGGATTTCAAGCTCTTGGTGCATTTTTGGCAACAAGCATTGCCTTGACTTATTTTTATAATGAACCATTTTAAAAAGCATCTTAATTATTACATTTTCACCACTGGGGAAATCAAAGAGTTCAAATTTGCAGTATGCTTTATTAATTCTGGCAAAATAATTGACTTTTTAACCCTACTTCGAAATCAGGCTAATATTTTTTTTTATTGAAAATTTTTTAAAATTTTACAAAAAAGTTCCCTTCCCCTTTTAATTAAAATTTAAAAGAAAATTTTTTAAACACAAATAAACCGTATACAAATTTGATTACAATAATTAAACAAATTATAAAATACTTTAACACCAATATTTAGAAAGCAGAAAGAGAAAAAGAAAAGAAACAAGAAAAAGGAGAAAAAAATAAAAAAAATAAGAAATTAAGAAAAAAAATATCTAAAAAATATCTTAAACTTTAAATATAAATTATTCAAAAACTAAATAATATTTTTATATCATACTTATATTGTATAAAATTTATCCATCTTTTCCATACCAAGAGGTACTTCTCTTGCGATTGATCTTTCAAGAAAGCCGAAATCTTTGCCATTTCCGCTAAGTAAGAAACTTTAAGGAATCATTCTTGCAAAGTAGGCAAAGATTCCTTCTTCCAATATTGCCCTACTAACAACCTAGCCGCTGTAATTAAATTTAACATTAATATAGTTTCTTTACTATCACAATCAGAAACAATACCCAACAAAAACAATTGTGGAGTAAATTTTATCCTTCTTTTAAAAATTCTTTGAATATTCCACCATATCTTAATCCAAAAAGCTTTTATATTTTTGCATAACCACCAAATATGATAATAAGTAGCATCCAAGCAACCATATCTCCAACATTTAGGCTGCAAGTTTAAATACATATGAGACATTTTTTGTGGATCAAGGTGCCATCTGTAAAACATTTTATAAAAGTTTTCCCGTAAGTTTTGGGCTTGTGTAAATTTGACATTCCTCACCCAAATAATCTCCCAAGTATCTAATGGAACCGATTCATCAAAATTTTGTGCCCATTTAACCATACAATCTTTAACTAGTTCTGCTTCTGAATCCAATTCCACTAATACCCCATAAATTCTTTTAATATGGGTTTGTCTTTGATCTTTTATTTGTTTTAACAGATTCTCATCCTCTCTAAGCAAACCCACCTTACAATCTATCTTCCACCTTTCTAATAATTGTCTATACTGAAACCATGAATAAATAATATTTTCTTGTATTAAGTCTTCCATAGACTTTAATTGCCAATTTTTACCATCCCATCTAAGTAATTGTGTATAAGAAATACTATCCATCTTAACTCCTCTCCTTATCCCTTCTATCGCGTGCCATGGGATAGCCCATAATGAAATCAGGCTAATATTATCAGAAAGTATTAGGATCTAAAAAATAGCTCTTTTAGCTGGTTTTATAGACTGGATTTTCTGCACAAGAAACCATTACATAAGAATACAGTATCACTAATTTGCTAAAATAGAAGAATTGCAATAAAGTCTAAAGGATTTAGTTATACTGACTGGACTAAAACAGAGATGATCAAAACATCACTGCATTTAGAAAAAACAGCCTATTCTAATACGGTACTATATTTTATTCTAAAGAGGCTGTATATGTAAGAATACTGAAGAATACTGTAAGAATGAAAGACTGCAAAACTGCAATGTTATGTATGAAAAAAGACATTCTTACTAGCGTTTGTCAAGATCCTTCTTTACAGTAATTTAAGGCTAGATGAATACTCGTAATCAAGCAGCACTGAAGAATACTGCATGGAGGAATACATTTTTTCGTACAAAATACTTCATAAAACAAATTGAGATTTTTAAGGGAGAAAGAGTAGAAGGATTTTCTTATGCATCATTAGTGCTGTGGTATCTAATGCAAACACACATCAATGATAGTCTAGTTACCATAAAAAAAGACCTTTCCTTTTTACGACACTGTAATCCCTTAATTCGGGATAGTCGGGGTGACTGGATGGAGAGCATTTTCTGACTGGATGCCCAGCATTCACATACTACATACAATAAAAATATTGTTGTAGAAAGATGAAAAAGCAGATTTCCCTAGGAACTGAAACAACAATAAGCAGAGGACTGCAGCTACCCAATGATTTTATTATCTAAAATAGTGTTTTTCAATCTGTATTCAGGAGAATTCTTAGGATTTATTGGAACTTGATTAGGATCCATGAGAAACTAAGGACAAAAATAAAAGGTCACTTGAGCTGAGTGAATGCTCTATCACAAGATCTTTTCATCAGAGGCTGTGGAATTATTCTCCCTTTTTTTTTTTAAACGAACGGGTTCCCCAGTTTGAAAAACTTTGAATACCCCTGATCTAAGAAAGCTAATAGGGTTTCAATTCAGAAAATATTCAATTTTGAAGACAATTTTTGGAAGCTGGCAGTAATTTGTAGCACATAGCCTTCCAATTTTTAAAAAATAAAATACTAATTAAATGAGCTTTTAAATGACGGAAGGGGGAAAGCAGCCTAATATGCATCAAGAAAGATCTTGCAGCCTAAAAAAAGGCATAAGGGAAATAACACTTGGCAGCCATTAAAATTAAGATAACAATAAAAGTGGAATATATCTGATTTTTGCAGATACAAAAATCCCAGCATGTTTTCACAAGGATAAAGTGCATCTGATTCTTATTCAGTAGAATTATTTTCAGGGCTATTCTATAAATGTAATTCAGAAGTAAATCCTGCAAAGTTCAAAGACGATTATCTCAGTATAAGAATATGTAGGATTGCAGCATCAGAAATATGCACATATTACAATACCGGGGTAATCTAAATAAAATGACTCAATTGCAGTTAATAAAGTTATATCATTTATTTGAAAAATGCATTCATATAAATTGTTAAAATAACCTGGCCCAGTTATTTTATGTTTCACTCTCACCCTTCTATGTAGGCAAATCCTGTTACCAAAGTTATACCATAATTAGCTTTGAATTCTTGGAATCTGCTGCCATCTATTATCGACTCAGAATCTGTAAAATTTTGTTTAAAAAAATGAAAAATCAGCATGAAGTCGCTTTTCTTCAACAAAAAAAATATTGGCTCATTTTCAACTTTGATAAGAAAATCAAATGAAATATAAAATTACGTATAACTTTTTAATTTGATGCTTAGGCCTTAAATGTACACGAATTTAATTTTATTTTTTCAGTCTTAAAAATCGTTCTTTTAATTAATTAAATCACCTCAACAGAATATCTACACTTAATATAGAGCCTCTCTCTGAGGGAGATGCGTGGTTCAAAAATCTAAAAAATTAAGTAATTAACTAAAATATAATTGCCAGTGACAATAATGGCACTTAGTCTTTACATCAAAATTAATAGAAATCCTAATAAGTCCATAATTTTTTTTTGAAGTATAACATCTCTGAAATCTTAGCCAACTTTTTTAGATGTATACTATAACCATCACTGAAGAGTAAACCTATATGTGAACATATAGGTTTACTCTTCATATATGAAATAGACTCTGACCCACAAAAGATGTACCATAATAAAACTTGCTAAGATTTTAACATGCTCTAGCTATTCTTACTGTTTTCAGTAATAAAAAAGCTTCCATAAATGACCTAAGCAGGATAAGGACCTCAAGACTTCTATTTTACTGTTTTAAACTGTCTGTTCATACACATATATTGACTTTCAGAACTGTATTGTGGAACTATTTTCCTGTAGAAGAAACATACACTATTGCCTGATATGATAGATTATAAATCTTGATTGTTAAACAACCTTTAATGGTTCTTTTTTCTCTTTGGATATTTTTCTCATTGGACATTCTCATTTGAATTTTACTTATATCTGTTTAGGGGAGGCTTAAGAACGGCTAGTTGGTTGGATAAATTTATAAAGGCTACTTACAAAAAATAAAATGGATGTTCCATATTTAGCTCTACATTGTAAAAAACCATCCTTACATCTATCTCCAGAAGCCTCAGTTTGCCATATCACCAACAAAATACTGATGAACCACAGAAAGAAATTGTCTCCATGTTGAAATTAATACAAGAAACAATTACTTTGACTCATGATGAAATTAAAAATAACACAAACGAGATAAAAGAACAAATTTCTAATTTAAATCTACAAACTCCGAAAATAACTACAGAGAAGGAATCAGCAATCCAGAAAATAGAAGGAAAACTAGAAAATGCTGACACAAACATTGAGGATCTAAAGCAGTGGTTCTCAACCTTTTTAATGCCGCGACCCCCAACAGGTCGTAAGTCGAGGACTACTCAACCAGTTGTAAGTCAAGGACTGCTCAACTGGTGCAGCACCATTTGCAGAATGGGACTTTTGGCGGGCTCAGCAGGGCAGAGACAACCTGGACAATTCCTATTGGCTTTTGAAAGCCAATAGAATTAGACTCTATTCAAGAGAGTCTAATCTATTGGCTTTCAAAAGCCAATAGAATAAAAGAGAGTAGCACAGCTAAGGAAAAGGGGGGGGAAATGGCGGACTGCATTGTTTGGCGACCCCGTGAAATGGTCGTTCGACCCCAAATGGGGTCCCGACCCACAGGTTGAGAACCACTGATCTAAAGAAAGAAACTAACGACAAGACTCAGAAAAATGAAGACTTAGAAGACACAATGATAATATTGGAAATGGAAAAGACATTTTACAAACCAAGATTTCAGAACATACTGGAGGACAAGGAAGGAGAGCTGATGGAATGGAAGATAAAGCCGTTAACAGAAATGTCAGGAATTGCAGGAGGGAAGCTGTTTAATGAATATCAACGGGCTAGTTCTTCCAAAAATTCTTTAACTAAATTGTTTCTCTTGTTTCAAATAATATACACAAAAATAGAGGAAGAATTATTTGAAGATCCAAATGTACTGACTTGGAAAGTTAGTTGGCAAAAGAAGAAAGCTAGAGTAAGACTGAAAGAAACAGAAGCTTTGACCTATTAGACGGGATGTTACATTATCAATTAGATGTTTGAATATGGTTAAGAATAGATTGCTAGAAATAGAAATATTATTATAACTAGATAAATAGGATTTGTAATCAAAATATCATATCTTGGTATGGAAAGGGAAATAAGACTATGCTAAAGACTTTGAATAAGGGAAGCTTTTGGTTACCCAAAAATAACTTGTTCTGAAATTATAAATGATCGGGATATTTTGAACATGGGTGGGGAATTAAAATTGAAAAAAGCGAAAAACAGGATATATAGACTGAATAAATGGATATTGAGTGCAAATGCAATTAAGATATGCTTTGGTTAGAAAAGATATTCTAAACTGATATTATTGACACTATTAGAAAAATGTAACAAATGTTGATAGACAATTGTATATTTACTCACAACAATAAAAATTGTATTTGCTTAGAGTGGAAAAATGTCTATTACCAGAAGGAGAGAGGATGTACTGGAGGGTGTAATATTGGATTTAGCTGGAAGAAGCTTACATGTACCACAGAATCACTAATGGACTCAGTCATCACGTTGTCTATTAGGCACGTGATTGTAAAAATAGAAAATTAATATTTATAAAAAAAAGTTGCAATGGCACTGAAAAGAGTGACTTATAATAGGAAGTCACGTGCTCAAAATATGGGTGCTTGACAACTAACATGTATTTACAATGGTTGCAATATCCAGGGTCATGTGATCACAATTTGGAACCTTCCCAGTTTGCTTCTGACAAGGAAAGTCAATGGCGGAAGCAGGATTTGCTTAATGACCACATAACTCACTTAACTACAGGGATTCAGTTTTAAAAAGTGGTAAAAAAGATCATAAAATCAGGCACCATTCACTTAACAATTGCCTTGCTAAGCAACAGAAATTCTGGTCCCAATTGTAGTTGTAAGTCAAGGACTACTTGTACCTTGAATTTCCCCCATACCAAGGGTGGGCATCTTTGGAAACTTTATGACCTGTGGATTTCAATTCCCAGAACTCCTGGGCCAGCCAGGCCTTATACAAAACTTAGGAACATCACCATATGGCATATTAAACCCTGCAAGAAGGAAAACTTCAAGAAAAGATTCATTATCAAGGAGCAATTTTAAATATTCATGAACAAGCAATTTCTTTTTCCTCTGAGTACGAATCAATATTGTACTTTTTCTTCTGCTTTTGCTGATCTTCTCAGACAGTTCTGAATATCTAAATATGAAAAAGAGACCAGAAATGTTTCCCAAATCTCCTCATCAATGTTCTCATAGATCAGTGGTTCTCAACCTGTGGGTCGGGACCCCATTTGGGGTCGAACGACCATTTCACAGGGGTCGCCAAGCAAGGCTGTCCACCATTTTTTCCCCCTTTTCTTTGGCCACGCCCCTGGCACCCGGTGATGTATAAGTGGTTGGGGGTCACCACAACATGGGGAACTGTATTATGGGGTCGCGGCATTAGAAAGGTTGAGAACAACTGTCATAGATGCTAAACAGCAATACGTATATTGTTTTGCTATCATGTGGGTATGGGTAGGGTAATAATGAGGTTGTACGTAGTTAAATGAAAATTTCACATAGTTACTAGTAGTTTTATTATTCAGTATATAAAGAAAAATAAACTTGTATTAGAGTCTGGTAGAAACAATAAAACAGCCTGCATTACCATGCTTGGTAAGCCATGGTAAGCCAAAATTCTTGGCAAGACTGGCTTCCTCCTAAAGCCATTCTTGACTTAGATGTGATTATGTCTAATCTATTCTATTATAAAGTCACTAAGAAATCTTTTGCCATTATAATGAACATCCCAGATCTTTAAAAAATCTGGCATTTTAAATTACTCCATTCTCTGATTCTTGGATTTTGGCTTCCTCCAAAGATTCTCTGGAAATTATTAAGCTGTTAAGAATTTATGAAAAGTTATGCCTTTGATTTCATCTTGCTCTTTCAGCTCTTGTTAATGATTCTGAATAAAGCCCTAGTAAAGTCCTTGCTTTCTCTGCTTTTATCCATGAAACATGATTAACTGAAGTAAACAGCCATTCATTTGGTGGGATTTTATAAAAGATTGATTAATTACAATATAAATATTTTGCATTCAAATTAAAATTTGAAACTTTTCAATAATATAGAACAGAGGTATTATTTTTATTTATTAAAAATATCTAGTTTCGATTAATTTCTTAGCCATGTATAAGTGCTAGAAAGAGAGCTGCTGAGTATTTATTTGCCTCTGAAATTATGTGGAAGACGTTCAAGGAGGAAACTTATTTAAAAATAGAAGTGATATATCTTAGAAGGCCCTTTCTGTAATACCATCATAACAATAGAACATGTTATAATCCATAATATTGATACTTATGACCCTATATACTATTTAAAGATGTAATGATTCTTATATTTGCCTGTTAAGTAACTCTTTATTTCAAATACTTTATATCAGATTATTGATTTTAAATATTACATCTTAGTACTGTATTCTTGCTGATGTTTTTGAGATGACAATATAATTTTCTGCCATTTAGATCCAAAAATGATACTAAAAATGTACATAACCTATGGTTAAAGAATAAATACATTTGTATCTTTATCCATCCATCTTCCATCCTCAGTAAACCATGGAAATCTTTTGAATACAGTGTATGTGAGATGCTTGTCTGGACATCACTTCTCAATGATTTTTGCCCACCCCACCAGACTGGACAGAATCAGCATGCACTGGGTTTTATTGGTAAAGGTGTTTCACATCCCTGTATTGACACCTGTCTTGTGAAACAGCCTCCCTTCCATAAGACCATGAAAACCTGAGTATTCCCCAAGGCACTGGGCCCAGGGTAGTAATAAAGTTCTGATCTCTATGCAATTGTATCTCTTACATTGTTTCTTTTTCTTAAGTATTGGATTGTGATTCTAGTTTTTCTTTATCTAGTCTGCCCATAGTATCTTTGGTAGATGAGTGCTGATATAAATAGGCTAAATAAAATAAACATTTTAAAAAATAAGTTATTGATTATATATAACTTTGATTATGTGCTGACAAGTTAAATGAATCTGCAATCTCAGCTAAAGTATACTAAATTATTTCTGATAGTAATATATAGAATGCATTTTTGTTTATTATTTGATGATGAAGTGAAAGATGAAAGTGGTTGGAATACTGCAAACAAGAGAATTACCTTTGAATACATGTCTTGCTGTTACTCGCATTTCCTTCAAATATATGTCTACAGAGTGAAGAGATTTCACCTTCCAATAATTGTCATATCCTGACACTTATTTTTTAGATTAAAATTCACAGATGAAGAATGCATCGCATTAAATGGAACTTTATTGATCCATTTTATTGTAGACTTGCAGTTCAGCAAGTTCCATATTTGTTGTTTGCCCATGTCAATTTCTTGCCACTGCTTCTTGAGTGTTTAGAATAATCTGAAGTAAACAAAGGGCACCATGAATTCCTGGAGAATGGAATAAAGGGAATACAGTTCTACATCATTCTGGATTGATAAAAACAACAAAAATATTTATTAATACAAAAAAACCCCATAATTACAAAATCACATGATCTAATATAGAGTCCCCAACCTTTTGGGCACCAGGAACCAGTTACATGGAGAGAGGTTTTTCCACAGACTGGAGGGGGCATGGTTTTGTGTGCTGCTTGCATCCTGTGGATGGGGCTTTCCTTGTTTGTGTGGACCAGTTGCTGGCATGCCACGGACCGGTATTGGTCCATGGACCGGGGGTTAGGGACCTCTGATATAATAAATATCTTTCCCCAATTTTAGGGTCTCCAAATAGATTGAGCTATTCCAGCACAATTTTCCAGATTATTTGACCAATGACTTTACAAGCTATGATCTACTGGAATTAAGTCCAATAGAGTTGGGGAACATTGTGCTTATGTATAACCGGATTTGGTCAACCATTTTCAGTATCACATGAAATTATGTGAAACTATTTTAATAAAGTAAACTTCCTCTAGTCAATTTCAATCCATTTCAATCCATAAGGAATCATCTTAATAGGAAGGTAAGAATCCTAAACGTAGGTAATAGAATCTTCCGTAAAGATGACTATTAAAGTAGAAGCTATCCAAATCTTTCCAAAAGCAAAATTGCAAGAAGCAGTAAGAAAAAAGGTTCTCCAGCTATTCCTAGTAATTTTCTTACATCAACATATTGCTTCTAGTAATACCTGTAAATTAGTTCTAAATAGAAGCAACCAGAAATTCAAAAATTAGCATCATTCAATTAATTATACCATTCTTTTATTATGAAAGATCAAATGCTTCTCTTAATAAATCCTTCATATACATATAATCCTTCATATACAGATAGTTTTCAACTTACAACCCCAATTGAGCCCAAAACTTTTGTTGCTAAGCAAGACAGTTAAGTAAATTTTATGATCTTTATTACCACAGTTGCTAAGTGAATCACTGTGGTTGTTAAGGTAGCAAGTGGTTAAGTTAATCTGACTTCCCCATTGAATTTGCTTGTCAAAAGATCGCGAAATGCAGTCACATTACCCCAGGACATTGCCATCGGCATAAGTACATGCCAGTTGCCAAGTGTCTAAATTTTGATCACATGGTCATAGGGATGCTACAATGGTTGTAAGTGTGAAAAATGATTGTAAGTCACTTTTTTCAGTGCTGTTGTAACTTTGGTCTATAAACCAACGGTTTTAAACTGAGGACTATCTGTGCAGTTATTTGTTTGTCATATTATTTTTCCTAATTCAAGATCAGCTTTTCCTTTTAGGTAAAATGTACCAGCCTATAGTCAGTCACTTTCTACATTTTTACCTAATTCTGTGTTGTCCTTTTAAACTAAGGCAACCTTAAAGTTACATTTTTTAGGCCCTGAACTTTAGAATTAAATTAGATATATGAGCCAAGATTATTCAATATAGTATTAGATTCTGAATGAGAGTTATCATATCTGACATGCAAAAGTAGAGAACAATAAAGATACTATTGGAAGAATAGTAACTAGTAACTGGACATCAAAGCTTGAGTATTATTAGAAAATAGTTACTAAAAAAGTTATTATTAGTAACTATTTTCTAATAATACTCAAGCTTTGGTATCCAGCTCTTGGGATTTTTCAGAATTAGCCATAGCTCTTCTAGTTGAAAATGAAGAATTTCCCAAATATTTTAAAGTCTGAACAAATTCAGAAATTAGTAGTCTTCCAGATAATAAGGTCGCAAATACATGGGGTTTCACTACAATCATAACTATCAGCAGGGATTTTTTTTTTCATAGAACACACAGAACGGAGTTCCGGTATCTTTTTTGGATGGAACCTTGTAGGGTGGGCAAGGCAGGTTGTATGACATGTGTGAGTTCCTGCACCTTTTATTTTTACAAAAAAAAGCACTATCAGTTTGATAGTGTATGTAAAATAAAGGTAAAACGCAGCTCCTTGATTTTTTGCCATCAGTACAAAAGTCCACTGCCCATTTCAGATCGTTTCCAACCCCTTTTTGAAAACAATTCTAACAGAGGTTTTGCAATAGTAACTTAGACTTGTCACAACATAAAACGCATTTGATACATCTAAGAGTGATTTATATTGTTCCCTTAATTGAGCAAATGCCCTTTGACTACGCCGAAAACCTGGATATTCTAGGGCGCCCACATTACCCCCTTTAGAAGCGGGTAGGCTTCGCAACTGTTGCATACTGACATGGTGTCGCTCAGTATTAGCAATAAAGGCGCTCTCCGGTGAGAAATACGGTAACTTCGTAACCAAAAAAGCAAGAAATAACTGAAGCAGGCCTGGCACCGCTCAGACCGTTGAAAAATTTGGAGTGGAAAGGAGCGCTGGTGGAGCACAGCAGACCCCACTGATGTCGAGTAACGATCTGACTAGCTTGAAGCGGCCCCGCCTGCGCACAAACTCGGCAGTTTATACCATTTTTATCAGGCTTCGCTCCATGCTACGACAAATGGCGCTGCGCCTTCAGGGAGTGAGGGACGGCCAACTGCCTGTCCCAGTCTTGGTCACTCAAGTCTCCAAAACCCGGAACTCCTACCCGTGGCGAAGTGCTTAGGCCCCCTCTGCTTCCTGCCTTGGCTACTTTCCCGGCTCTGTTCTTCACCACGTGCTGAAGAAGAGTCATGGCCCCATTTCCTGCCAAGCTGGTAGATCGGCCGACACTTTTCCCACCAAAAGTTTCCCTGAGCATCACCATTAGACATTCGGTTTCCAGTTTAAAGTAGGAACTCATTTTATTTTCCTTTTGGAAGCCTCGTGCAAATGGCAATAGCTCCCTTTCTTTTCATCTTCATTTTATGAGGTGCCTTTTTAAGCATAATCTGGTCATGAAGGTTCAGGGGATGCCCCACGTGCGGAGGAGGCAACCGAACGTTTAAACCGTGGTTAGATTCCCCCCCTTTGGGTGTTTTAATTTCACTCCGTGAAAGGTACACCAGACAGCTGATTTGTAGGGTAGGGGATGGATGGTGGTAATCTTGTAGAAAACAAAAGAGACTTTTATGAATTCCAGAGGGTTTAGCAGAGAGATTTATTGCGCAAGGTTCAGAAGCAATGAAGACAAGCAATTCTGAACTCTGAGGGCGAGTTTAGGCTTCAGTTTTATACATTTCTTTTCTCAGGAACAAAGAAACACACATTAGTGATACACATTGTATTACATTAGGTTAGTTTCTCACAGGCATACAATGGACAGTTATGCTACATACACTGTTTCCAAGTGCAATGCGCATTTGGTTAGTCACAGATTGCTAACACAGCTTTATTCCAGTAATTATGCAGACACATCATTGTTTTAATGATTTTTCATTATTATTATTCCACATTATTCTATATTATTCTGCTACCATTCTCATGATTTACTTGATGGGATTTTAATAGTATTATTTATTTTTCATTTATTTATGTTATTTTCAAATTTTTCAAACAATTTTGATTGTACAAATCTCTGGGAGAGTTTTGGGTGACTCTCAGTGGTCCTAAGATAATAATTTAAGAAATACTGCCTATTTCACAATTTTTTTTTAATTGAAAATTTTTACAATTTTACAATAAAATAATCCACCTCTCCCACCCCCCCTCCCACCCATCATCCTCCCCCCTATCATCCTCCCCCCTTCTTCCCAGATTGATTGCTTGTCAGAAGGTCACAAAAGTTGATCACATGACCCCAGGACACTGCAACTGTCATCTGAGTCAGTTGCAAGTGTCTGAATTTTGATCACATGACTGATGCTGCAACAATCAAGTGTGAAAAATGGTCATGAGTCACTTTTTTCAGTGCTGTTGTAATTTCGGTCAGTAAATGAACTGTTGTAAGTCGAGGACTAACTAGTCTTAAACATGATTTGTGTTACATAGTGTTTAAATAGGATTCATTCATGTGTGCTTGTTAAGACTTCATCCTTTTGTTGTCTATGGTTTTTATAGATATTTTGTCCATAGACATAATTAATAATTATTTTTATTTTTCTTCCACGTATGTTAATTATGGACATTTCCATATGTACTTCTTCTAAAGTACCAATTAGAAAGAAAAGTAGGTGTAATTTGATGTAATTGAATTTAAATTATTTTTTACTTTAAAATTTGTGATTTGCTTATATATTTAGCATACATCTGGCTTGAATGGACAAAGTTGGCTTGAATGGACAGGCTAAATTGCTAATAGAATTAACTACTTCTTTAAACCCATGGTAATTTCCCTTTTTTTCAGTTGGCATTACTATGTAATCATGTATACAGTGTTTTGAATTCAAAGGGGGAAAAGGCACTTTGGAGCATGTGGGATGGCTCATTTAGAACCTTACAATTTTTAACTTATGAATTTTGGCAAGAAAATAGTATGGCTAAGTTCATCAAGTCATCAAGAGTTGACCTCAACCTAAAGAAGATTTTATCTGTTTTGTCACATCATGAAAGAAGAAAGTAACTGTTTTTGACTGAAAATATAAAGAGTGACTAGTCTCATAGAACAATGACGACAATATCTAATGTTTCAACCAGAGACAGGCAATGTGACATAAAAGGAGCCCAGTAAATGAGAGATGTGAGGAAATTGTATGATCGGCAGACAATTTTATGTTCAGGGTTAAAGTCATTGCTTTTCCACTGGATTACTAATCCTTAAAATGTTTGTATATAAATCTGTTAAATTAATACCTTACTTTGTCTGACAGTCATCTGTTCAAGATTGGAAAACATTCCTTCAGAGTTACTCACTGGCATATTTTTATTTAATTAACAT